GCTTTGCAACTGTATCTCACGGTTATTCAATTAAAAAAAATTACTTGATGGGGCCAGAGCCATAGAACAGTGGGGAGGGCGTTTGTCCTGCATTCAGCTGATCCAGGTTCAGTCCCTGCATCCAATATGGTCCCCCCGAGCACTGCCAGGAGTGATCCCTGAGTGCAGAGCCAGAAGTGAGCTCTAAGCACAGTGGGTGTGGCCCCAGAACCAAAAAAATAAACAACAAATTAAAGAACATTACTTAACTAGCTATAAGGGGCTAAAATTAAATCACTGATTTTTTATTTTTAGTTATTAGAAAGCAAAACAAGGGGCTGGAAGTAGGGCAAGAAGAGGCAAGAAAAGGCAAGGAAAAGCCTTGCACACAGCTCACCAGGTTTTGATCCCTAGCATCCCATACAGTCCCCTGAGCACCACCAGGAGCAATTGCTGAGTTCAGAGCCAGGAGTAACCCTAAGCATCAGCCAGTGTGACCCCAAAAGACAAAAACCAACCAAACAACTAAACAAAAAGCAAAACAAAGACTACGACCCTTTCTGTGGGGAGGACCCACACCTGGCGATGCTCAGGAGTTACTCCCAGAGGGTTTCAGGGAATATGGGGACCATATGACATGTTGGGGATTGAACCCGGGTCTGCTGCATGCATAGCAAATGCCCTCCCTGCTGTTCTACTGCTCCAGCCTTGCAACCCTTTTGAGTTCAGTTTTTCCATCAGCATCCCCACTGTGGGTGAGAAACAGCGGCTCAAAGGAGTAAAGAATATCTTTAAACAGCTGGGTGTCACAGTTAACCAGATTAACGGACAAAGTCCAACTCTCTAAACTTGAGTACTTGGGGTGCCCCTTCACCAAAATAGCGTATGGCAAGGAAAGAAGTTCAAAAAGGAAACAGCATAGAACAGAGCAAGCACTTGTTATAGGTGTGTTGAATTGGGGTTAGGCGAGATAGCATAGCAGGTAAGACACTTGTCTTGCACGGGGCTGAACCGGATTCAATCCCTGGCACCACACATGATCCCTGAAGCCTATAGGAGGAGGTGATCCCTAAACCCAGAACCAGAAGTAATCCCGAGTACCACTGGGTGTGGCCCCAAACCCAACATAAATAAATAAATGTTTGTTGAATGAATGATTGGATGGGGGAATTGAAGATAATTGTTTAAAAAAGTCAGCTCTACCCCAACCATGCAGACGCCTGTAATTCATTACTCTCTGCTTCCCATTGCTGCCGGCAGCCCTTCCCACCTCATACCCAGAAGCTGGTCTAATGGCATTAACCATCCCAGCCAGGCAGGGTACCATTAAAAGCTTTAGTCCAGCCACTGTGTCCCCCCCCCCCCCCCCCCAGGGTCTTGGCTCTGGGCCCTGGGCTAGAAGAGTGGTCTGGTTGTTTACCAGGAATTTGGACCTTCTTCAGAGAAAAGCACAGATGACCTATTAGTCTAATTCAAGCACTTAGCAAGGAATGACTGTACCATTCACACCCCCAGCCCCAGGCTAATGGAGCCAAAGCAAATGGAAACATCGCTGGCTCAAACATCTTCCTGGCAGGGGAGGAGGGAGAGGTCCACCCAGGGTCCCACTGGAGTTTGCAGGGAGGCCAGTTCCCAGGGCAGGAAGTGGGCTTCATGGGGGCTACAGGGGTGCAAGGCTGCATGAGGGGGAGACATCCCATTGAACTCACCACTCTATCCTCTCCTCTGCCCTGCTCCCCAGATCCTCCTCCTTGCTTTGACATTTGTTTAGGAGAAAAATAGAAATATAGGGGCTGGGAAAGTAAAGTAGGTAGGGTGCTTGCCTGGCAAGTGGCCGACCTTGGTTTGCTCCCTGAACCCTCTAGAGTCCCTCTGAGCCCCACCAGAAGTAAACCCTGAGCATTGCTGGGTTTGACCAAAAAACAAACCAAAAAAGTAAAATGGAAAGATAATCAAATGCCATGACCATCAATACATCAATAGAGAATTTTTTGTTGTTTGATTTTGGGTCATATTCAGCAATGCTCAGGGGTTAGTCCTGGTTCTGCACTCAGGAATCACTCCTGACAGTGCTTGGGGAACCATATGGGATGCCGAGGATTGAACCCACAAGCCAGGCAAATGCCCTACCCCATGTACTATCGTTCTGCCCTGAGAATTTATTTTTAAAGGCTATGTATGGGGCTGGAGAGATGCAGCGCAGATAAGGTGCCTGTCTTGCATTCAGCTGACCCCAGTTCAATTGACACTGTTTGTGGTTCTCCAAGCACAACCAGAAGTGATACCTGGGCAAAGAACCAGGAGTAAGCCCTGAGCAGGGCCAGTTGCGGGTCCCCCAAACAAAAACTAAGCAAGAAAAAAGTGTACATTGGAATAGGCATTGATACAATCCTGCATTATGCTGTATCAGCTGTTTACTGTATGCTCTAAGAGCAAGGAGCGTCTAGTGCTAGAAGCTGAGAGGCTCATAATGCAGCTGCTCTGCGGGTCTTACTTCAGAGCAGGACAGAACCTGAGAGGTGTTGGGGGCCCACCTCTCCTGCAGGTGACTGTGTTACAACAGCTGTGGGCTACTGCATGGGGTCTCTGCGGATGGAGAGTAAGCAGAGCCCCTCTTACACCCAACCCCAGAGGTCTTCAGTATCACAGCTCTTTATTTAACCAGCAGCAATTCCTGTGTTCACCCCACAACCACAGAAAATCCCTCTTTCCCTGTAACCATGGAGCCACAGGAGCTGCAGGCAAAGGAAACAGTGGAAGCCAATAGCTGCTGAAAAAAAAAATTCAAATTGGCCAAAGTTTAGGTTAAAAAAAAAAAAAGGTTGAAGCAGTTGAAGCAGCAGGAGCAGGGGTTGGTGGCTGCAGCAACTTTCTATCTCCCGCCCCCAGGAGAGAAGCCCAGTGCCAGTCAACCATCCCTGCTTACACCAGGCCTCCATTCCCTCTTTGCCCTCTGATTGGAGGTGAGGGGCTAAGGCAGAGGGAATTTTTCATCATCTGGCTCCTTCTTCCTCATTTTCTTTGAAACATGAGCCCGCTCCTATAGAATGAGTCCTGTCATACTCCAGATTCTCCTGTGCACAGAGCAGACTGAAGGCTGAGAGTAGAACTTTAAAGATATTTTTAACTTTTTTTGTGTGTGTGGGGGGTGGGGGGATACATACACCTGGAGATGCTCAGGAGATACTCCTGGCTCTGCACTCAGGGGTCAGTCCTGGTGGTGCACAGAGGACCATCTGAGACACAGGGGATGAAAGATGGGTCAGCTGCGCATGCAGGGTAACCACCCTCCCCACTGTACTGTCTCTCTGCCCGGCACAATGCTTTTGTATTGATTATTCCTTCCTTATGAGGTGATTCTAAGTTTTCCCATTTACAGATGCTCATATTGAGACCAAGAAAGGTTAAATCCAATCTCCTGTGGCTAGTGACTGACCAAACATTGGACTAATGAGTGAATGCACCTGCTCTGTATAGGAAGAGACCGTGGGTGCTCAGAAGTGAGGTTATTATAATAAATATGGCACCTTATCACACTGAATTCTTTTTATCGATCAATTTGTGCGGGCACTCGTGGTGATGGTGGGAGCTGCTCCTTCTGGTGCTCAGGGGACCAAGGACCGAGGACGGGGATTGAACCCAGGGATCCCACATGCAAAGCACCAAACTAAGGTCCAGAGCTCTGTAAATACACGTGGGTTTACTCTGCAGGGGTTGGCTACTTCCTTATCCCGACAGGGTTACAGGTCAGGTGAAGGCCCTGTCTCCCCTTTCCTCGGCCCTCGGTGGTCTGGCGCTCTATAGACTGCATGGCTGAGGGGCCTCCCTCTCAGCTTTTCTGAGAGATCCCACGCAGAAACCCAGACATGGAAACTGGAAAGGTAGTACAGTGGGTAGGGAGCTTGCCTTTCGTGCAGTCAACCTAGATTTAATCCCCTGCAACCAATATAGTCCCCAGCACCCTACCAGAATTCCTGAGTGCAGAGTCTGGAGTAAGTCTTAAGCACCACCAAGTGTGGCCTAGCCAAAAAAAAAAAAAAAAGAATGGCATAAGATAGAACAGATACTTGAAGAAGTTATTTTTCTTTCCATCTCTATGTCAGATAGAAAGGTTTCGAGACTTGCCTGAGGTCATATAGCAGTTGGTGGCACAACTGCCACCTCCAAATTCTTTGGTCTGCTCTTCTGTCTATATTAACTAGTTCTATATTAAAAGCATAATGAGAGGCCAGAGAATAGTGCAGCAAGTAAGGTGCTTGTCTTGTACCCAGTCAATCCAGTTCGATCCCTGGCATCCCATATGGTCCCCCAAGCCTGCCAGGAGTGATACCTGAGCATCACCATGTGTAGGTACCACCCCCAAAAAAGAAAGAAAAGAAAATTGCAATGTGAGAAAAGAGAAAAAGAGCAATGTTTTAAATCAATATGTTTAATCATGAGTCGAGAGACTTGGGGAACTATGGGACAAGCAACTGAAAGAAACCAAGGTCCAGACGCTTTTGTTCCTGATGCTCAAATGCTCTATAGGAAACCAGGGCAGGCCAGACTGCTGGTTTGCATCCCTGTGGGCTCCCCCCGTCCCCCCAAGTTCAGAGGAGGAGACCTGAGTCTTGCTCTAACCTTCCTCACAATGGAAAAACGTCTTTGGAGGCTGCCTGCACCCAGCCCTGCCTGCCCGAACAAAGCAGAGGGAAGGGCTGGTGATCCTGGGGCAGTGGAAGGATCAGGACAGAGCTCAGGAAGAGCCAGTGAACCAGGATATATAACTAAACTGTGGTCCCCACATCCTAACGAGGGGGCAGCCTGGGTCGGGGCTGGAGGCGGGAGCAGAGGGACTGAGAACTCAGCCAATCACAGGCTTCTACTATGGCCTCATCTGGAACCAAATGCCAGGCTGGGTGGCCAGGACTGCCAAGGAGGGTCCCGCCCCTCCATCCTCCTGAAGCCCTTGCCTCACCCCTTGCACACTGCAGGTCAGGCTGGGCATGGTAAAGGAGGAGAGAGACCCTGGGGAATGCCAGCTACCAGAGGCTCCAGAGCAAGGTCCAGAGAAGGCTGCAGGAGGAAAGAGAGGGCAGCAAGGGCTGCAGCCTCACGGCAGGGTTGATAGCCTGTGGAAGGAAACAGAATGGCATCAGTGCCACCTCCTACGCCACCTCTGTCTCGCACAGCCCCTCCTCCCTCAGGCCACTAGTGATCTGGAGTATGTGGGACAGTAAGGGGACAAGGTAGTCACACACACACACACACACACACACACACACACACACACACACACACACACACACACACACACACACTCCTCTAAACCTTATCTTACTTGGGTTTGTCCCCCAGGCAGAGCAGTTGCTTCTCAAGCTTTTATAGACTGTGGTCCCCGTCCCATCTTATTTATTTCCTATTTATTTCCTACAGGTTGGCCCTCTCATCCCCCATGCAACTTTAATCTGGGGTCCCCCTGCTGAGAAATGCGGGGCTGGGGAGGGAGGAAATGAGTAACAAGAGACCCACCTTGCTCTCCATCGCTGGACTCTCAGGGTCAACCCAGTTCAGGGAGAAGAGCCGGATGTGTACGCGCATCTTATCCCTGATGGCGTTTACTGGGGAGGGGGAGCGTGGGAAGGAAAGAAACTCTCAGTTGTCTGTGTGCTGGCTCAGTCCAGGGGCACCAGACAGGCTGACAGGGCAGCCTGGGGGCCACCAGGAAGTCCCAGGATGGGGGTGGAAGCCAATATTGAGGAGGCAGCTCCTCCTGCCGTGGACCGTGGAGCCCATGCTCTCTGTTCATGGGGACACTGTGGGGAGCAAGGGGTGGGGGGGGGGTGCATACTCACTGAGGCAGGGGTTGCGGGAAAAGGCCCCCTCCAGCTGCTCACACTCCTCCTGCTGGTTGCCACTCCCACGACATGTGCAGCTTAAGGCCACGCTGGTGTTGACACTGCTGATGTAGTTGGGGGTCAGGATAGTCCCTGTGGGACCAAGAGGAGACAGACGTAAGGGCCAACGACCACCCCAGCTGCAGCTCCCATGGCCTCCTACTTGTCTCACGGCCATGCTGCCTGGATTTAGCCTCCAGAACATTCTTGTGGGCTCCCACACATGTTCCCAGACCATCTTACCGATCAGTCCCAGGTACGCTCGCAGACACCGGGATGACTGTGTCGCGCAGGTCCGTAAGATGCCCATGGGACGGCAGTGGGTCTGGAAGTCTGCCAGGCGTGACCTAGAAAGACGGAATTTTCCAGAGTCCCCCTTAAGGAGCTGGCCTGCAGCTTTCACCTTAACCACCCTTTTAACTGACATGCCCATTTCTGTGCCAAACCCTCCTTTGTCCTTAGAAACCCACTTAGGGCTTTCTCCTGGGTGATGTCTCCTCCTGTCAGAACTAAAGGACTGCCAGACCCTGTCACACTTGGCTCTGAACTGTGGGTTGTGTGTCGGGCTCCACCATCCTGGGTTGCAGGCAACTTTAGCTTGTTTCCTGTTTATTTATTTAGCTATTTAGCCTGTTTCCTTGACTGTAACACTAGCGGTGGGTTTTTGTGAAAATCAAATAAGAGAGTGCATGTGGCCAGAGGGATGGCTCAATGGGTGGAGCACACCCTGAGCACTCCTTGGGAGTGATCCCAACAGGATTGGGAGTATTCCCCAGCACTGTAGCCCTAAAAATCAAAAAAGAAATGAGAATGCATGCACTGTACCTAGTTTAGCACCATAGCTAAGTATTTAATTACTATTAGATATTGCTATAATAATTAAACGTAAACGTATCATTCATAATATAAAAGGTAAAGATGGTAATCTTCAGATAATGGTTTGGGGCCAGAGTGATAATACAATGGGTAGTGTGTCTGCCTTGAACGTGGCTGACCTGGGTTCAACCCTGGTATTCTATGGTCTCCTAAGTCCACCAGGAATGACCCCTGAACACAGAGCCAAAAGTAACCCTGAGCAGCACCGGGTATGGCCCCAAAAGCATAAACAACAACAAAAAAGATGAGAGGTATAGAGGTCAGAGAGAGGGTACAGCAGGAAGGGCACTTGCCCTGCACATGGCTGACCCGGTTTGATTCTATACGGTCTCTTGAGCCCTGCCAGGAGTGATCCTTGAGCACAGAACCAGGAGTAAGCCCTGAGAACTGCCAGATGTGGCCCAAGAACAACAACAAATTAGAAATTTACTTTCCTTCACCCATACGTAGTTGGGAATGCCATGAAGGAAGGAATAATACATCAGTCTGGTAGTTGAGCACTGGCTTTGTGTCAGCTGCCAACACACCAGCAGGCAAACAGACACAGGGCTGAGGCACACAGATTCCAGGCCAGGATTTCTTTACTCCTCTTTTAAAAAGCAACCATCACCAAGTCCACTCACTGTCCTCTGCTGTGACTTCTTCATTTGTAAGAGTGAACTAAAAGCCTCTTTGTAGCTAGAGCCATAGCATAGTGGGTAGGGCACTTGCTTGCACGCGGCCGGCCCAGGTTCAATCCCTGGCATCTCATATGCTCCCCTGAGCACCTCCAGGAGTAATTTCTGAGTAAAGAGCCAGGAATAACCCCTGAGCATTGCTGGGTATGACCCCAAAACAAAATAAAAAGCCTCTCGGATACAGGGCTGTTGGGAAACTTCTGAAGAGGCAGTCAGGTGATTGGGTGGGCTAGGAATGGGTTCTCGGGAAGTAATAAAACCAGGAGGTGATTCAAAGTTACCCTGTCACCAGGCCTAGAGTAACCCCAAAAGCACAAAGGCTGGCCCCACTTTGTGGACATAGAAACTGAGACTAAGAAGACCTTCATGGGTGCCAGCACCAGCTCACATGGCTTAGAGAGAAGCTCCAGAAGGAAAAATGGGCTGACACAAGAACATGAAGGCAAACTACCAAAAATTCAAAGCTGGGGGTAGGAGTGATAGTATGGGGTAGGAAGGGCGCTTGCCTTGCATGCAGCTGGCCTGGGTTTGATCCCCAGCATCCCATATGGTCCTCTGAGCACTGCTAGGAGTGATTCCTGAGTGCAGACCCAGGAGTAACCTCTGAGCACGCCGAGTGTGACCCAAAAAGGAAAAAAAAAATAAAGTTCAAGCTCTTCTACTTGACAGTGGACCAATAGACCCTTATCTACACAGGGAGCACCTTATGGGGACACTCAGAGAAAACCTACAAACCCAACTTTGCAAAGGCAAGCAGAGTGTTTCCCCCTTCCGGGGTGGGGGCCCCCTATATCTCAACTTGGAATGTATAATCCTTTTTTTTTCCACCTTGTGGGGCATCTTAAGCTCTCTTCTAGAGAAACCCACATTCTCTTGAACCACCCCCCTCTCCTCTCTCTTGCTCTGTTTCCTCGTAATCTCTAAATAAAATTGTTTTACTTCACTATTCATCTCTTCCTAAAATCCTTTTTCAGCAAGGGAAAGTGACAGACCTTTAAAGAAACTGGGCAAAGGCTGGGATCGATACAGCAAGTAGAGAGCAAGTAGAGAGCTTGCCTTGAGCACACCTGACCTGGATTCGATCCCAGACATTCCATATGGTCCTCTGAGTGATTCTTGAGTGCAGAGCCAGGAGTAACCCCTGAGCATTGCCTGTTGTGACCCCAAAACTAAAACAATTAAAAATAAAGAACCTTGGTAACACTTAGGACTTATTTTTCCTTTTTCTGCCCCTACTCTCTTCTAATAAAAAAAAAATTCCTGGCTCTAGCCTGAACTCCACAGCAACTTGAGGGGGAGAAAAGTGTCCGGTATTGATTCCCATGCTGTGGGACACAATCTAACACTAATGGAACACAAGTGTCTATGCCGTGCAGGTACTTGGGACAGAACTTCCACACACTCCCCCAGGTGATGAGGTGGGTACAGAGGACAGAGCAGTAGACTCCCTTCTCAAGGGGAATTATCAGTAGCATTTAAAGGGATTAATATGTGTTCTATGCTTGGCACCATACCTGATCCAGTGGGTTACTGACAGCCCTGACTATGCAGAGCTTTATAGAGAAGGAAAAGGGGACTCAGAAGGGGAGCTCACTTGGCCAAGGAGACAGAGAATTAAGTGACAGAAGCAGGCACCAAATAAAACTTGGTATGGGGGGTGTCTCTCAGAGTCAACCAATGCCATTGAAACAGATGGTAACTTCACTTTGGCGGGGGTTTTGCCCTGAGCAGGCGAGAAAAGCCACTCAAAAGAAGAAGAAAAGAATTTTTTTATCTGCTGGGGAATGGTGTAGCAAACACCTCGCATATCCTGGCGTCCTTTGATTTGGCAACGGGACAGAGTAGCAATACATCTTAAGTACTGATTAGATTTGTCCTACAAAGATGGATGAACAAGAGTGATATTTACTGCGCATCAACAACAATCAGGGCATGATTAAATAAAGCATGGAACATTCATAAAAAGGAATCCAATGTAGGCATTTAACTATCAAGTTGTCCGAGGACCATAAATGACAGAATAAGTTGCACCATTTATTGAGCACTTACTCTGCACCAGCAAGCTGAGCATTCAGCATCAATTATGAACATAAGCCCTCCTCAGAATTTCAAGGTCTGCCTTACCATCCAGACTGTTACTGGAAGCTGAATGGAAGCTTAGGTTAAGTGCTAGGCTCAGGTTCACTTAGATCCAGGATTTAAACGCATCATTTGAATTCACACCAGAGCCTGACCTCACCACACTTCCGTCCTGCCTTGCGGAGGTAAAGCTCATGAGATTTGTAAGAAATGTGAAAATCTTTGATATTTTTTTCCAGAGTGATTCATCTCATCTGTATGTAAAAAAAAATCTCCAAGAAGTAGATTTCTTTCAGGGGATGGATTCTGAGTAATATTTTCCTGAAGTTTTTACAGAAAGAGAAAAAAATAGCTATAAGAAGAGAGTTTTAAATATATAGAGACAGCAGGGGCCAAAAGTGATAGCAATAGTGGGTAGGGTATTTGCCTTGCACACGTTCAACCTGGGTTCAATCCTTGGCATCCCATATTGTCCCAGAGAATTTCCAGGAGTAATTCCCGAGGGCAGAGCCAGGAGTAACTCCTGAGCATCACTGGGTGTGACCCAAAAAAAAAAAAAACTCAAAATAACAGAGCTGAAGGGACTAGAGAAATAATATAGCAAAGTAAGATGCTTGCCTTGCACAGGGCAGACCCAGTCTGATCCCCAGCAGTCCCAGAGCACCACCAGGAGTGACTCCTGAGTACAGAGGCAGGAATAAGCCCTGAGCACTGCTGGGTGTGGCCCCCAAAACACAAACCCAAAACAACAAAAATATATGCAGGTTGGAGAAAGACCTCAATGGGCCAAGCACATGCTTTGCATGTGGAAGGCTCAGGATCCGCATACCACCCCGCCCACGACATGGTCCCCTGGTACCTACTGCCTCCCAGCACAATGCCGGAAACCCCTGTGTAAACTCCAAACCCCAAAAAATACATATGAAGAATAGCTATGGGGTGAAGTAAAGTTCACGGCCCCGGGGTACGTGGTGTCAGGCGGGTGCCCCTGCACCTGCACAGAGGTTCCAAGAGGCAGAGTTTACGGAGATCCAGGCAGTTGGGGACCTCAGTGGGCAGCGCGCAGCTGGGGGCGATAGTGTGGCGCCGGCGCTTGCCGCAGCCCTGGTCTGTGGGCTGGCACGGGCACAGCAGGAGCCCCTCAGCGAGGTGAGGGGGCGCCTTCTCAAAGAAGAGGCGCAGCTGGCGCTGGCAAGCATCACGCTGGCAGTGGGGCCAGGAGCACGCATCTCCATAGGCCCGACGCAGCCGGTCACACTTCGAGTTCAGGGTACACAGCATAGCGAACTTGAGGCAAGGGTCCGAGTCTGTGGAGAGAGGAGAGCCCCGTCAGCAAGCCCTGCTGCCAGCCCGCCCTCGGACCCACTCTGAACCCCGGTGACTCTGACTGAACCCGCAGGACCGAGAGGGGCAAAGAGATGGTGGCCTGCCCACCCAAATAAACTTACTTTATGACTCCCAACCGAACTTCTTCCCCCTCAGGCCGTTCCCCCTCAGCACAAACTCTCCCTGAATCTCAGCACCCAACTCTTCACTTTGACTGGATTTTTGATTTAAAATAAAAGGAAAAAAGAAGGGACGGGAGTGATAGCACAGCAGGTAGGGCATTTGCCTTGCATGTGGCCAACCTGGGTTCGATTCCCAGCATCCCATATGGTCCCCTGAGCACTGCCAGGAGTAATTCCTGAGTGCAGAGCCAGGTGTGCATCGGGTGTGACCCAAAAAGAAAATAAATAAAGACAAATACCTTAAAAGGGGGGTGGAGGAGGAAAAGAAAGCCTGGGGGGGGCCAGAAGGATAGTACACTGGGGAGGGTTTGAGCCATATACAGTGACACTTGAGTACTACTCCCAATTCTGGTCTTAGAGATCACTCCCAGGAATGCTAGGGGACCATGTGGTGACCACATGGTGCCAGGAATCAAGGAAGGGGTCAGCCAGGTACAGGGCGATTGCTCTAACCTCTCTATCTCAGACCTGCCTGTCTTTTTAGTTTATTCCTGCATAAAAATTCCCTGTATTCTTGTGTCCTACAATGACTAGAGTTGACAGAATTAACTGGAATTAACAAAATATCCCTGGGGTTAGAAAAATGAGTAACCGGAACGGGTTATTCCTGGATTTCTTGTTAACTGAGTGTTTATTAGGTATGAACATTAATACTTTTCTCTTAAAGTTCCAGTTTAATTTATGGAACTGACTGTGCCAGTGGCACTGACCGGGGCTGGAGAAGCAGCTCAACAGGCTGAGCACATGCTTTACACGCAGGAGGCCCAGGCCTAGGCCCCACATCTGCAGATTTCCCCTGAGGACCACAATGAGTGACCCCCTAAGCAAAGAGCCGGAGCAGTCACTGGGCCTGACCTCAAACCACAAACACTGTTCTGACAAAACAAAGCTCACATTTTTTCTCGGGGAGGATGTGTGTGTGTGTGCTCCTGCCAGTGAACAAAACAGCCTCTCCTTTTCTGAACACCGGGGTTCTTGCCTAACAGATGGCACTCTACACTGACTCACCCCGAGGAGTCACATTCGTGCTCACCATCTCCCCAGCCCAACACCTCACCCATCCCATTACAGTAGTTGAAAACAAGCAATTTCCTAGTCTTCGGGGATAAAAAGCTATTTTCCCAGTTGCCCTGAAGGAGGGTAAATAACTCCATTTCAGTGCATTTTTTCCCCTGCCACTATAGCCACTCCCAGAAAACCCTTTGTGGGGACCCACCTTTGAGAGGCAGAGCGCCCTAATGAGCTCCTCAGAAGGGATGCCTAATAGCAGCGGTCTCTGCTGAGTCGCAAGGCCACGCCAGAGCCCTGGCGCAGACTCCCACCTTGAGATTCTTCTTTACGAACCTGACAGGCTGGAACATTCCACCCCACACCCCCACTGCCCAGCTGTGTTTCCCACCAGCCATCCTTCTTGGGAGTTGAGGCTCATCCCCACACCCCACCCACAGCGTCTGTCCTCCATACCTGGTTTGAGCATGTTCAGTTTGCTCATATTTACTTTCCAGGGCTTTCGGGTCACTGTGTCTTCATACGGTGAGACATCCAGCTCGTAGTCACCTAAGGACAAGGAGCCGAAGGATTCTGAGGACAGAGCTCGGGACTACCAGATCAGACCTCTGTGTCCGAAAAGGAGGGTCTCTACTAACTAGCTTCAAGAAGTGATAAAAAAACCTGGGCCCTAGGGTAGACTGACTGGCCTGATGACGAATACCACAGACATTGTTTATGAGCATAGTGGGTATGTGTGCTGGGCACCATGGCATGAAGGAAAAGATTATATGTAATACATAATCTGCCTTGTTTTCCAGTCTTCCCCTGCAGCTGGCTGGGGAAGGGGTAGGGCTGGACGCGGTTCTAGCCTCAGCACTTGACTGCAGAGCTGCATGGCATGCAGGGGAGATGGAAGTGAGGCAAGATCTCAAACTACACACACACGCACACACACACACACACACACACAGAGTTTGTATTTCCTTTTTTGGAAGGGGGGGCACACCCAGCAGTGCTCAGGGATCACTCCTGGTGAGGCTTAAGGGATCATATGGTACTGGGGGATTGAACCTGGGTCAGGTAGATGCAGCAAGACAAGTGCCTTATCTGTTGCACTATCATCTCTCCAGCCCTAGTGTATGTATTTCAATCCTATAATCTTGTTTAATTCTCCTTGACTGTGTGTGTGAGTATGTACATGTTCATGTAGCTAAATCTTAGTTAATTCTCCTTGAAGACTCTTGGCAGAGAAAAAGAAATGGAGGATAAGTGAGCTTACAAGTTCACATAAGCTACCAAGAAGCTGAATTGGGATTTGAAACCTGGATGAGATGAATTCAGTCTATGTCCCTAAACACTAGACAAGCAGACACAGGGACATGCCTTGTCTTCAAGTCTTTTTCTGCAGTTGAAGAAGGGGTGGTGCTGGATGCTATTCCAACCTCAGCACTTGGCTGCAAAGGGGCGAAAGGAAGGGGGCGGGAAGAGAGAGACAGAGAGAGATACAGAGAGAGACAGAGACAGAGACAGAGAGAGCAGAGAGAGAAAGAGAGAAAGAGGAGAATGATCTTAACCGACTTCCCCATTAACCCCATGGGGCCGTGATCTCCTTCAAGGGACCTGCCAGTTGCAGAAAACAGGCCCATTGCTCCTAGGCATGGAGGTGCTGGTAAATCTTATTAGAGAAAAAAAGGTGAGACAAGTGAGGCTGCAGGTGTGCCATCCAAAGGTGGCTTTGTGAAGGCACCTTTTAGAAAGGAATGGATGATGTCAGGCCAACAGGAGCAGAGGGTCTGGATACTTGGGAAGGACAGGGAGCTCCCCAGGGTAAGGGGTGGGGGCAGGGCAAAGAGAGTTCCTGAAGAAGTCTTAGGGGAAATTCTGAAAGAGAAGCAATTAGGATGAAGAGTGGAAAGCAGGGAACAAGAAGTATGCAGATGGCTTTAAGGGCTGGAGTTTTGTATGTACGAGCATTGGTTTTGATCCTTGGAGCTGCATCTCCCTAAACACTGCTGGGGTGCCTCTCAAAAATTAATTCTTTTTAATTAAAAATGAGTATGATATATTGCATTATTTTCCCCAAAACTTTCTACCACCAAGTTAGACTGTTGCCACTGCTTCCATATCCCCTCACGAGGGTATTCAGCAACTCCCAGTAAGGCTTAGGTGAGCTGAAGCAGGCAACAACCCCATCTGAGCAAGAGCTCTAAGACCATCATTTGGTTACACTGCTGCTCTTTTCTCTCTGCCTGCCTGGATCCCCAAAGGAAGACATGGGGGGGGGGGGCGGGGTACAAAGACTCACAGCTGAGTCACAGTCAGGCACATCTTCAGCAAACATGTAGAATGAGCCCAACTAGAGTTTTTGTTTTGTTTGGTGGTCACACCTGGTGGCTTCCAGGGCTTACTCCTGGCTCCACACTCAGGGATCACTCCTGTTGGTGCTTAGGGACCATCTGGGGTGTCATAAATTAAACCAGGCTGGCCAACTGCAAGGCAAGCTCCCTACCACCATACTATCTCTCCAGCCCCAAATACTTTTTTAAAAATGAAATACAGCTTCTCAAACTTTTGGTTAAGATCAAGTGTAATAAAAATGAAATTCAGAGTTTGGGAGGTTTTTTGTTTGCTATTGCAACAAATTCTTATTAGAAATCAACAAATTCTCATTCAAAATGCAATCTAGAAATGGAGAGGCTCAGTAATAAAAATATATCTATAAGATTGACTCTGGAACTGGGCAGTGGTAGTGACTAAGCTGTTAAGGGGGCTGTAAAGAAGGCAAGTTCCATATAGGGGTAAAACATTTGGTAAAATTGTTGCCTGTAATAAGTTGGAAGGAAGATGACTAGTTTGCAAATAAGAAGGAAACAGAAAAGAGAGAATATAGGAATTTCAGATCTTGCAGGATTAAAAGATACAACTAGACTCGGAATGTGACTCAATGGTAGGGCGCCTGCCTTGTGTATATATGTGAGTCCCTGGGTTCAATCCCAGAACCCCAAAATAAATAAATGAACAAAAGATATGACTGCTGGGGCTGGAGCGATAGCATAGCGGGTAGGGCTTTTGCCTTGCACGCAGCCGAACCGAGTTCGATTCCCAGCATCCCTTATGGTCCCTGAGCACCGCCAGGAGTGATTCCTGAGTGCAGAGCCAGGAGTAATCCCTGTGCATCACTGGGTGTGACCCAAAAAGCAAAAATAATAATGATAATAATAAATTTTTAAAAATATATGATTGCTACTCATACTTAAATGGTAAAAGATAAAAATAAAAAATACTCTGAGAGACAAGTCAATTACAACTCAGTCTAGGAGAAAAGACCAAATTAGGTGTGTAGTTTATGAGTCTTTTGTGCAGATTTCTCACTGAGTAAGGTGGATTGGCTTGGAACTGGGCAATCCAATACTTATTTCTTGGATAATTTATACCAATAAACTGATACCCAGTAAATCTTGCCAGTTGGACTTATGTAATTTTTTTTTCCGACCCCCACCTGGTAGTGCTCAGGGACTACCCCTGTCTTGGATTTATCCATGGTAGCATTGGGCAGACCATGTGGCACCACGGATTAAATCCCTGCCTCCTGCGTTGCGAAGTGTGGACTCAACCAACTGTTGAACAATCTTCCAGCCCTGAGACCAACTTGAGAGTGAAAATGCCCTAAAATTCCTTGGGTAGGAAGTCAGTTGAGAATGCGCAGGCCCCAAGGAGGCTGTAGGTCCCAGTGCTCTTTTCAGAAGTGGCCAAAGAAATGAATGAAAAAGGGAGACTCCCAGAGGGTTGGGTCAAGAGCCACGGAGAACGGTGTGTGAGAGCGGCTACTCCCAGGAGCCCAACTGGGCCTGATTAACGATCGATCCTCACTCGGGAGGAGATGGATGAGGATCTGTCCAGTGGGACTTCACAATGGAGTGAGTGAACCGATGTCTGTGATGTGCCTCCCGAGTGTCCCCTTCCAGCAGGGAGGGTCACACTGCTATTCCTCTTCCATTCACATCTGAGTCCTTAGGGGCAGCACAGGACATGACTTTTTAGTTCACTGATTCCTAGCTCATGAGGAACTACCTTCAGAACTGATGCAGAAATTATCCCAAGATCCTCAAGTTGGGAATGGGCATCATGTTTGGACAGAACTCTCTGCGTCAGGGGTGAGAGGAACAGCTCAAAGATCTGGAGGTCATGTTACCCAATGCCACAGCACTGCTTAGAGCTCCCAAACACCCCTGGGAGTGACCCCTGAGCAGTGAGCTGGGAATAGCCCCTCCAGGTGTGACCTCAAAATAAAGCAAAAACGAAACCAAAAACACTCAGGGCATCTCCTTGGAAAGTAGCAGTTACATTTTGCTTGTGGGAGGTAAATGAATGTTTTGACCAAGGAGTATAGTAGTTGTATTATTGTTCCTAGAGATTTCTGCTGCCCATTAAGATTCTAAATCCTCACATGGATTTTCAAAGTGTTTCTGTGGGATGATATACGCTGCCCTCATCACAGGGATGCCAGGCTTGGCCTTGTTTGCTTTGTCAATGGAATGTGAGCAAAAGCATTTCAATAGACACTTAAATGATCATATTCGGGCCAGGAAGATAAAAGTGGGCATGGGCAAGACCTTGCTTCAAGCCCTGGCACTGTATACCTTCCTAACCCCAACCTCCTCCTAGAGCAATGTACTGCTGGGTCTGGACTGGGGGTGGCCCCTAGTGGGTATAAACTGTCAAGTCATCATGATTCCGCCACTGTGCATTTTCTTTCTTCCCTGGAAAGAAGGGAACATCGCAGTTAGAGGCTGCTCCCTTCGGTCTGGACTCCAGAATGAAGAGCTAGTCACGAAAGAGCAGACACAGAATATATTTTGTTATGGCAGCATGGTCCAGTAAAAGCTGACTGGCCCAGAGAGTCTGTGGGAAGAGTCAGAGGAAGCTTGTACCTGTGGCTCTTCCCTCGGAGCCTTCCACTGTCATCTTCTATCTGGCTAATTAAGAGTCTTTTGTTAAACGGGGACCAGAATGTTGACCCTTTATCTCAGAACTCACCTATCACACCGAAATCTATCCTTAAAACCTGTCTTGAGGTTAAGACATTTCTTCCATTTGTCTCCATACCCTGTTTCACCAGGCATTCCCCAGGTTGAGCTTCAAACTCTGGCCCAGAGCTTTACAAAGAAGTGGCTACAAGTTATCAGGTTAGAAGTGAGAAGAAAACGGAGCTGAAGAGATAGTATAGTGGGTAGGGTGTTTGCCTTGCAAGCATCCAACCCAGGTTCAATCCCCGGCATCCCATTTAGTGCTCCGAGCACGAGATCTCACCAAGGCTGCGGGCGGGATGGACGGTCCAGTAGATATCCAGGCAGAAAGTTTGATTCTTCATCTGTCGGTGGCACATGCAGCTCATCAGAGAACTATTCTTGAGGGGCTGTGCTGCTTCCAGGCAGCTCTCCGGGACAGAAGACTCCTCTGGTAGCAATGAGGTACTCATGTTAGACCTGCAGGAATTCAGATGCTGGTAGGCAGCACCGCACATGGGATCAGCCAGGCACTTCCTCCTGGCCTGGATACAGCTGTTGATGAGCCGGCCCTCTGCAGGGAGGGGGTCTCCTGTACAGGGAGAGAGAACAGGTGAGTCACAGGTCAGAGTAGCTGTCATAACCCAGGATCTAGGTGTAACACAGGAGGTTCAGACTCCTTGGGCAGGAAAGTCCTGTCACCATCTGCCAGCACCCAGCTGCACACCTCCCCCCATCAGTGCTCCCCCTCCAAAACCCAGCATCCTGCTTTCCAACATTAGAATTAATTTTGCTTCTTTGACAATCTGATAACATGTGCTTTTGGTGTCTTGGCTCTTTAACTCACTTATGTTTATGAAAATTACCCATACTGCTAAGTGTGCTTGTATATAGCTTCCCACCCCCCCGCCCTGCATTATTAGAGGTTCATCTTCATTACCTAATAGCAAATAGCTTATTTTCATTGCTGTATATTTGTGTCACTATAATGTAATTCTACTGTTGACTGGCATGATATGGGGTCATCTCTTAAAAGTTATAAATCAGATTATTTTATGTCTCTGCTTAAATCCCCCCATCCCTCCCACTTCCGTCAGGGTCTAGTCTATATTCCGGTTTACAAAGAATTTAAATGTGGTTTGTGTCTACCTCTCCAACCTCCCCTCTTAGCCCTCTCTGCCTCTCCACTTCTCTTCATCCACTTTGGCCTTTCCAGTTGCCACTGAACAAGGCATCTGAGGATTTCTGCTCCTCCTTCCCTTTCCTCTCCTTTCCTTTCTGCCTTTTATTTTGCAGCTGGGGGCAGGAGCATGGGTGGGTATTGGGTCATACCTGACTGTGTAGTTTCAGGGATCACTTCTGGAGGCGCTCAGGGGGACCATACTTGGTGCTAGGGATTGAACTGGAGTCAGCCTTGTGCAAGGAAAGAACCTAAACTCTTCTACTCTCTCTCTGGTCTGTTCCTTAGTGAACTCTCCTTTCCAAAAGGCCATCTCCATCTACCGATGTAAAGTACCCTAGCCATGCTAATACATTATTACTCCAATTTCCTGAATAGTACTTTCATCTCTTGATTTTTTTTTTTAAAGCAGTTTTATTTTTTTGAGTGCATGGGATTGAGTTGCCTTACCTTCTTCCCCCTCTTCTTAGTTTCAGGGCCAGATCTGGTGGGCTATTCTCAGCTGGGCTGAGGAGGATGCTCCCAGTGGTGCCCAGGGCCTTAGGGTGTTGGACACTGAACCTGGGACCCTAACATGCAATGCATGCACTCCAGTCAATTAAGTCATCTACCTTGCCCAACTTGATTTTATTTATTTGGTTTTGATTTGGGGGCTATGCTGGGCTGTGCTTTCCTGGCTCTGCACTCAGGGATCATTCCCGGCAGGGCTCAGAGGACCAATTGTAGGGCCAGTGTAAGTTGTGGGCAAGGCAGGTGCCTTATCTACTGTACCATCTCTCTAGCAGCCTACTTTGTTTTAAAAAATAACCTGCTCCTCTCAGTTTCCATCTGTGCTTCCTCTCTTCTCTGTGCTGGTACCTGGGACCATACTTACTCCAGGTGAGCCTCATTATTACAGAAACAGGTCAGGAGCATCTGTGAATCACCCTTGTAAATTCCCTGGCCTGTTCCCTCAAATTAGATTCAGAGCCTCCCTCAAATAGGATGGGGTCTCAGAACTTAGATCAAAGTCCTGAATTATGTGATAATCAGGTAGTTTATTAAAATTTAGGTTTCTAGAGGGTTTTTTTTTGTGGGGGCTGAAGGGATGTGAGGGACAGAACCAGGGCCTCACACATGCATGACACTCTACCAGTGAAGCACATCCCTGGCTACAAAGATGTGGGGCTAAGCATCAAACTCAGTCCTCCCACACACAAAGCAGGTGTTCTTGCCCTCTCAGTGAGTTTCCCAGGCCCTGATGTATTCTTTATCTTCTTAAGGGATTCCTTTTCTTGGCACCTTCTTCACTCACCTTTCCTTTGTCCCAGGATCAGATCATTTACTGCACTTTCTGAATCTGAGTTTCCTCAGATGTAAAATGAAGAGATTGAATTATCTAGTTTCTTAATGGAGTGGATAGGGAAGAGAGGTTAGGCCCCTTTTGTGGGAGTGTAGAGGGCTTTCCAAAGGGACTATATAATCCCCAAACACACCATTTTATATGTGGAAGATCATAGAAACAACCTTTCAGAAAGAGGAAGGTATAATATTTTCATCTTTTCTTTGATGGGAGGGTCACTCTCAAACATGTTCAGAGGGTCCAGGGGCCACCCCTGATGGCACTCAATCAACCAAGCTGGACAATTCAATGCTAGGACCCAGCAATGCAATGTGGCTCCAGCCAGCAATGTTGGGGTGACCAGGGTTACACCCAGTGTTACTCAGTATCATCATGCAGTATTGGGGATCCAACCTGGGGTCTCAAGCATGCCCAACAGGTACTCCAGACCTTGGATCTGTGTCCCCCAGCTCTGAGGTTTTTATCTTTACTGAAGAAGGACATGGATTAAAACAGTCTGAGAAAAACTAAAAGTTTAAGATGTTACTTGGTAGGAACCCAATAAGTGCTTCCTGAAATAAGTAGATCCAATTTCCATTGCTTTTACTCAACTAAATATTGAGTCATAACAATTTTTGAAAATAAACCTTGCTAGTTCTTATCTGATAATTTACTAAGTCTGAGCAGTGGTGGATTTAGGGACACTGCAATTCAACAGAAAGGGCAAAAGTCATGTCAAAATTTCATCATAATGGGATGGAAGTTGTAGCACTAAATGGGTTAAAGAGGAAGGTGGAGTCTTTTCTTGTTTAGTTTTAGGGGTCCACACCTAGGGCTGTTCAGGTTTTACTCCAGTTCTGTATTCAGGGATCACTCCTAGTGGTGCTCAGGGGACCACATACCGTCTCAGTGACTGAACCAGGGCTGACTGTGTGCAAGACAATCACCTTACCCTGCCCCCACTCCCCACCACTACTACTACTATCTCTCTGGTCCCAGGAAGTGTTTTTTTTTCTTTTTGGGTCACATCCAGCGATGCTCAGGGATTACTCCTGGCTCTGCATCAGGAATCACTCCAGGAGGTCAGGAGGTGCTCAGGGGACCATATGGGATGCTGAGAATCAAACCTGGGTCGGCTGCATGCAAGGCAAATGCCCTACCCACTGTGCTATCACTCCAGCCCTAGGAAGGTGTTTTTTGAGGGGAAGAGGAGCCAATTTGTTTTTCCCTGTGCCAGGAAAGGATTCAGAGCCTTTCACATGCCAGGCACGAGCTCTATCACTGAGCCATAAGCCAGGTACACTGAGGAAGGTGTTGAATGTTTGCCTCCTGATGCTATTCTGCAGCCATGCCTTTCAGGCTAGTGACGTTTCCTAACCAGTCAAATTATTTATCTTGTATGGCCTGATTTACTGACTCAGTCGGCAAGGTCCAAGCAGTTGTTTTCCCCCCTTCCTTCCAGGGCTGCATTTGTCCAGTATGCCCGCTGACGACCCCCACCCCTACCCCCCGCACCGTGGACAGAGATCACTGTCAATGTGCAGTCTCTGCCTCGGGATTCAGGTAGGCACCCCTCCCCCCCAGGGTAAGAGCCACACAGGGGTCACAACCTCAAAGGCAGAGCCTCGTGCCCAGGGTTCCTGGATTCCTGCCATGGGAGTGATTCTAAGACCAGGCCTTGAACAGCACATCCCACCAGACACCTACTGTGCTTGGAGCATCTGCCTAAGAGGACAAGCCCCAGTGCGGCAGCAGGGAAAGGGCAGCTTGCTCAGTAGCAAGGCACTGGAGGGAAGCTAGTACACCAAATAGAGCACTTGCCTTGCACCCCATATGCACCCCAGCCCACCAGAAGTGATCCCTGAGTGTAGAGCCAGGGGTAAGCCTGAGCACCTCCAGTGGGTGTGGCCCAGAAAACAAAATTTTTATGATAATAACGTGTTTTTCTCCAAATAAGGAGGAAGGTAAAGGCTGGTGGAGAGGGATATTCTCAACAGGGCAGCAACTTCCAGGGCAGCTTCTGACCAACAATGATTTGTGTAAGAAACCAGTTCAACTTAATTTGTTTGGGGGCCTCCCAAAGAGTGCTCAGGGGGACCCCAGGTCCACCAGGGGGCACGGCAGCTAGAGGCCACCAGGGGGACCCCAAGTGGTGATGGGGAAAGGGACCACGCAGGAGCAGGATGAACTGGGGGTGGGGGTCTTTGAGCCATCTCCCCAGCCCTGGAAGAAGCCAATTCAAACAAAACTCTTTCCCGGGGTTGGAGAAACAGTACAGCAGGTAGGGTGTTTGCCTTGCACGCGGCTGCCCGCGGTAGGATCCCATTAGGTCCCTGAGCCCCAGCCACTCCAGGAGTAATTCCTGAGTGCAGAGTCAGGAGTCAACCTTGAGCATCGCGTGCGGGGGGTGGGGGTGGAGGTGGCGCCAAAACTGTCTTCTCCTGTGCCCCAGGTGTGTCCACGGTCCGGGGCCCCAGCCTCACGCCTCTAGCCCTGAGAGCGCCATGGTGGGAGCTGGAAGCGCCCTGCCCGTGGGCTGCTGGGACCGTGACCGAACCTCAACAGAAGGGAGCGGGAGCCCCAAGGGAACGCCTGGGCGCCAGGCGTTGCTAGGAGTCACCTGCAACTAGCCAGACGGGCATTAGCAGGACAGCGAGCCTCTGCCAGGCTCCCCGGGGCTCCTGTTCCAGCTCTGCGGGAGCGGACAGACCGAGTCCCCCGGCCCCCGGCGTCCGCACCGACGACACTCACCTGCCCCGAGCAGCAGCGGCAGCAGCAGCAGCAGTAGCGGCGGCGGCGGCGGCAGGTGGCGCGGGCTCTGGGGGCGCGGCATGGCGGGGTGTGGGGCTGTCAGCCCCCCGGGGCGCGCTCTGCTGGCGAGCCGGGTTCGGAGCTCCCCTCCCGCCTGTGGCTGCGGCGCGGCGCTGCGATCGGGGCTCGGCTGCCGGCGCCTCCCACCGCCCCTCCTCTCTCGGCGCCCCACACTCGCCCCCACCAGGGTCCTGGGCGCCGCCCTCCAGCTGCCAACCGACGTACCACCCGGCCGTTATTGCACCGAGGAAAGCGGCACGGGTGGGGGGCAGAGAGGGCGAGCGGCCCGGGGGGAGCAGCGCAGCGCTCGCCCGGACTTGGCGGAATTCTGCTCCTGGCGTGCTGGACGCTCTCGCCACCCTTGTCTCGAGACTGTCGCGGGCGTGCGGATGTTACTGATTTCACTTTTAGGAGCCACACCCGCGGGGTTCGCGGGGCTTGCTCCTGGTTCACTGCTCAGAGGTCGCTCCTTGCGGGGCTGGCGGTGACCATGCGGTGCTCCGGATGGAATCTGGGACTCCCGCAGGGAAAGTTGAGACTGCAGTCCTTGGAGCTCTCTCCCCGAGATATAAATTGTTAAAGACTATCCCATCTCGCTCTCGGGACACCCATCCCCACACCACCCCACTATGATCAAGCTACAACCACCGAAAACAAAATTTTGTAACAAATTTTTTTTTTTTGCTGTTGCTTTTTGGGCCACACGCGAGGTGCTCAGAGGCTACTCCCCAGCTCTGAGCTAGTGGACCATGGGGCCCTTGTAACAAAATCTGAACAAACCAGCACCAGAAAAGTTGCATTTCTCCTATATTTCTTTCTAGACATTACACACCTGGGGGCTGGAGTGGGGGCTGGACCAAGACCCTACCCCACCCAGCGCACCAGGAACAAACTGGGAGCACAGCCAGGTGTGGCTCCAAAACCCAAGGGAACAAACAACACAAAGCAAAAACTTGCAAACCTGTGACTTCATTTTCACTTTCCAAGAATCTTCAAGGGCAAGAGTGCATTGCTGTCATTAACCCCCAGTCTGCAAAGATGCAGCCTGCTCAGGCTGAAACTGTCTTGGCCAGGGGCTGGGCAAGATCCCAGACCCTCTGCCAGAGTAGTCTCCAAACTTCCTCCCCTTCAGTGTCAGGAGGGAGGATGGAAAAATTAAAGCCCCTTCAGACTAATTATCTGAGATTCCCCTGGAGAAAAGGCAAGCTCTCTAAGGAAGATGGATGGAGAGACCATTCGGGAGCTTCATCATTTTCAAATGATGATTCAAGGAGCAAGCTAGCGAGGAAGCAGCGAGGTGGAAACCCAGCTGTGCCCAGAACCCAGGCTTTCTCCCCAGAAGGCAAAAGGTATTGATCAGGCAGAGTGCTGATTTCCACCTGTGCCCAGAACAAAGGTGGGGGCAGGCAGGATCACTTGGAGGACAGCAAAATAAGCTTTGAAAGAGGTTAGGGCAAGAAGCTGGGGCAACAGCACAGCAGGTAGGGCATTTGTCTGCCCTGCACACAGCTGATCAGGGTTCAGTTCCTGTCCCCTAGGCCCTCCTGGAGTGATCCCTGAGTAGAGACAGGAGTAAGCCCAGAGCACAGCTGGGTGTGGGCCTGAAAATAAGAAAAAGAAGCAGAGGGTTTTGTCCCCTTTACCCCCGAACACAAGCCCTTTCCTTACTTCCAGAGCGCACCTGGCAGAGGGCCAGGCGGGAGGGGCTTCCGAGGAGCAATAGAAACCTTTGAGATTTACTGGCTTCGGCCTGTAAATGTGGCCATCCTGCTGTGGCCTCTGGGGGGCATTTGCCGATGTAATCAGCCCACAAAGAGAGTCATTCCAGCCAGGGGTGTAAATCACCCTTCACAAAGCTAAGAGAGAGACATGTGCCCCAGATAAGGAAGGAGACTGATGTGGCCTCCTGTACCCTTTCCCTCCCTTCTCCTGCCCAGGGGGAGCTGGTTCCTGAGCTGTAATGCACTTTAAATGGAGTTTGTGCTTTGTTTTAATCTCTATCTGCCCTGCCAGTTGCACAGGAGAGCTATGAAAGTCAGCGTCAAAAACTGCTTGTTTTTTTTGTGTGTTTTATTTTTTTTGTTGGTGTTGGTGGTGGTGGTGGGGAATTGCACACCCAGCGGTGCTCATGGCTTACTCCAAGCTCTGCACTTAGGGGCTGGAGTGATAGCACAGTGGGTAGGGCGTTTGCTTTGTACGGCCGACCAGGGTTCAATTCCCAGCATCCCATATGGTCCCCTGAGCACCGCCAGTAGTAGTTCCTGAGTGCATGAGCCAGGAGTAACCCCTTGCATCGTCAGGTGTGACCCAAAAAGCAAAAACAAAACAAAACAAAACAAAAACAAAAACCAAGCTCTCCACTTAGGGATCACTCCTGAAGGGCTCAGGGGACCATATGGGGTACCGGAGATCAAACCCGGGTAAGCCACATGCAAAGCAAGTGCTCTACCCACTGTACTCTCTCCAGACCCAACTAGTTTTTTTTTTGTTTTTGCTACTTGGGTTTTTGTAAAGGCCTGTTCCACCCACCTGCTCCTCCCTACCTCACTGCACTTTGTCAAACCATTCCCATTCAGGAAGACTAGGAAAGCTGCAGCCAGGGAGCTGATAGCTCCAATTTCCACTCCACACTGGCACTGTAGCACTGCACTGCACTGTCAACCCGTTGTTCATCGATTTGTTTCAAAAATGGTTATTTATAAAGCAAAAGGAGAACTTTTAGGAGGAAGGGGATCAAGGACCTCGAATCTATGAATCACAACAGATTAAGGACAAGGCACCTTGAATCTCCTTCAGCAACCAGGTCAAATCAAGCTTTGGGTAGAAGGGAGTCTGGAAAAAAAAGACACCTGCCCAGGTACCAAAGTGTCTCTCAGTGGAATGCGGTGGCAAGGTCAAGCTGAGGGAAATGACCAGTTCCACCTGTAAGAGGCCAGCATCACTGTGTGAGCAAAGGACATGCCAGGAGCATATTTCTGTCTGGATGCTGGGGTGGAGAGTCGGACATCACTGGGCCTTTAACCAGGATCGGTAACCGAGGCTCAGGATGGGTTGAGAAGCCTCTGTAAATAAATATGATTGCAAGACTAATATTGACAGCTCCTCCGGGGCACCCTCTCCCCACCAACCGTGTTCTCTCCATAGTCAACACCTGCTGGACAAGCAGCATTGCCGCCGGGAAGCCTGTGGAAAATGACAAATGAGACAGTCCTTTCTGCAAAGATGATGTTACTCAGCCATCATTCAATTAATAATGTCTTTCCAGACTGATTATGGGCCCAGCTTTAGGTCAGGTGCAAAAAATGATTAAAACACACAGGCTGGGCAGCTCCTGAAGCACAGGTCGGGACTCACGGGTCCATTTAAGCGGGTGAAGTCTCATTTAAAATCTTGGTTTCCTGCTGTCTACCACACTCTCTCTCACGATTGTGCTTTCATTCCTGTTGCATTTGGATTTTTTAGGTCTTTGGGCCACAGTCCGTGGAGCTTAGGGCTTGCTCTTGGTTCTGTGCTCAGGGCGATGCTTGGGGGACCCATATTGGACTGAACCCAGTTGGCCTCGTGCAAGGCAAATGCCCCACCTGCTGTACTATCTCTCCAGTTCTCAACCAACTGCATTTTTTTGTGGGGGAGGGACCACAACTGGGTGGTGCACAGGGATCCTTCCTGGCAAGTTCAGGGGACCCTTTGGGGTACAGGAGATCAAACCCAGGTTGGCTGTGTGCAAGACAAGCACCCCACCTGCTATACTATCACTCCAGCTCCACCTGCTGCATTTTTAATCCCAGGAGTTAGCAGTATAGTAACAGTCAAGAGCACAAGTTTTGGGACTTGGGAGAAGGCTCAATAGGCTAGTGTACAGAGGCACAGTTTCAATCCCTGGCAACACATGATGACCCGAGAACCACTGGGAGTGACCCCCCACACCCAGCACTGCTGGATATGACCCCAGAGCAAGAAGGAAAAAGAGACAGCCTGGGTTCAAATGCCATTTCCAATACATGCTGGGTGACCTGGGGCATGCTATTTTTTTTCTTTTTGGGTCACACCCGGCGATGCACAGGGGTTACTCCTGACTCTGCACTCAGGAATTACTCCTGGCGGTGTTCAGGGGACCATATGAGATGCTGGGAATCGAACCCGGGTCGGCCGCGTGCAAGGTAAACGCCCTACCCACTGTGCTATCTCTCCAGCCCCTGGGGCATGTTAAATATTTTGTGTTTCAGCTTCTTCATCCGTGAAATAAATGACACAGTGTCTACTTCATATAATAGTTATGAGGATTAAACAGTAGATTTTTATTTGTTATTTTTTTGGTGTTTAAGCCACACCTGGTGGTGCTCAGGGCTTTCTCCTAGCCCTGTGCTCAGGGATTGGTGGTGCTTGGGGGACCATATGGGGTTCTGGGAATTGAATCCATGTCACTGAGTACAAGTCAAGCATCCTACGCATCGTGCTGTTTCTCCTGTCCCTAAATAATAGTTGAGTTTAGCATAATGCCTGACACAAGCAAGACTGAATAAATATTACAGGTGGCATGCAGGAAGGAGTTCATGAACCTGGCCAGATTCTGTCCCTACCACATCATGGCTTGAGGGGAGGAAGGGATATTACTTTTTGCTGATGTACTAGTAGTGCAGAGTGCTTGTAGCCTATGAACAAAAGAAATCATTTTTAAGCGTGTTGGTTTCAGGGAGGCAGACTATATTATATTTTGGTGTGTTTGATTCGCAGGATCCCCAAGCCAACCCCACCAAAAGCAGAAACAGGGAAACATGACTCAAAGGGCTGAGCACAGGCTTTTCATTGGGGGGGGGGGGGTTGGGTGGAGTGGGGTGTCTGCGTTCCACCTCTGTCACCACATGCAAATACTTGTGTACTATCTCTCTGATCCAGGTTTCCATTGTTTTGTTTACTAGTGGGATTCCTGATGGATGAACATCAGTCCATGCAAAGTCAACAGTGCAGAGCTCTCTGCTTGGGCACAGGCCTGTACTCTGAGCACTCGTGCCCTGTACTGACCAGGCCGGGATCTGTGAGTACACAGGACCTTGACTTCACCAGAACCTACAGGGGCCCTGGGGATAGAGCACAGAGGCCAGAGGTGCCAGTTTGCATTCACAGGACTCTAGTCTGTTCCTTATACTTCAAAGCCAGGGAGGCTGGGAGGCTCTGGTAGTCCCTGGCATTGCAAGGTCTGAGCAGCACTGCACAGCATCAAACAGTCTGGCCCCCATGACTGATGACCTCTGGGAGTGGACCGTGGGCCAACTGAGCACTGCCTAGGAGCCCACCCCCATCCTGCACCACCTAAGAAAACAGAATAGAACCAAGACTCTTATATCTATAGTACCTGGTTACAGTGCCAACTCCCAAAAAGGCACAATATGAGGACTTGGTAACAGTAAAATCCGTAAAGGGTACACACTCTGGATTCACACCACCTTGATTCAAAGCCAGCTTCATCAATTAGTAGCTTTTTGATCTTAAATACATTGTGATTTCCTGATTCTCAATTTATCTGTAAAACATGCATAATAATGAGTACCTGCCTCACAAGATGATTTTGAAGATTAAATTTTATATATATATAATTTTTAAAAGTCATACATGCAGTAATTGCCTGAAAAAAAACATGAATTAAGTCAGGCAGACAGCTCATTGGGTTAGTGTTCAGACTTTGTATGTGGGAAGCCTGGGTTCAACCCACGTGGACCCCGGCATTGCCAAGAGTGACTTCCAGCAATGACCAAGCTGAGAGTAGGCCCCAGCACCACCCTGGTGATAAATAACACTGTACAAAGAGATACCTTATATGGTACCTAGACAGTGGAAAAATTATACTGGGAAGCATACAGGAAATGCCGCTTTTCAGACAAATATATCTGAAGAGTATATCTTCAAAGTAGACAACTGATTATAGTTGGTTTTTTTTTTTTTTTTTTGCTTTTTGGGTCACATCTGGAGATGCTCAGGCGTTACTCCTGGCTCATGCACTCAAGAATTGCTCCTGGCGGTGCTCAGGGAATCATATGGAGTGCTGGGAATCAAACCTGTGTCGGCCATGTTGGCTGTGTGCAAGGCAAACGCCCTACCCACTGTGCTATCGCTCCAGGCCCTGATTATAGTTTTTTGTTTTACAACTCAGAAGTACTGATGGGGTTAAAGAGATAATACAGCAGGTAGGGCACTTGCCTTGCATGCAGCCAACTCAGATTCGATCCCCAGTATCCTGTATGGTCCCTTGAGTCCCACCAGGAGTAATTCCTAAATGCACAGTCAGTTTTCCCTGAATAACACTGGTGTGACCCCAAAACAAAAACAAACAAAAGGACCCCGCCCCCAATACATACTTTACTGAGATGACTAAAATGAGAACCACAATATCAATCTCTTCCTGGGTTGGGGCTTTAGTCTACCTTTCTGGGGACACATAGGAGGAAGTGACCCACTAGGCTAGGCAGTGAGCTGGGGGACTCCTCAGGAAAGAGGTACTTCTAGCAGACTCCTCCTCAGGGTTCCAGAAATTCCTGCTTTGGGGGGTGGGAAGAAGTGTGGTGGTAGAACAAAGAAAAAAGCATCCTTCAACAAGTCATCTCAAGATAGCAGCATCTTTTCTCTCCTTTTCCCCTATAACATTTGAGCTTGGGAGTCCAAAAGAAGACAAGAGACGGAGCTCGGCTCTCGGCTCTGGCAGACAGGCAGGAGCTATTAGTGGCGGCGGGGCTCAGAGTACAGCAGCGCCCTCTGCTGTGAGGCACACATGCAGCATCCAGGAAAGGCAGGCCACCTCACAAAAGACTGTCCCCAGTCCTCAGGTGCATTTGTGGGGTGATCTGCCCTCCTTCCCTCCCCCCACTCACCTTTTAAAATAAGTCTCCCTAGCACAAGCAGAGTGACAAGAGGAACGCAAGCTTCTATGAGCACTGCGGCCAAGTGTATGCAACCCCCGGAGTACACAGCCAGGCATGTGCACACCATGACAGCCCAACAACGGAGGAACCAGGGACAAGGGGCCTGACAGACAGGACAACAGGTAAGGCTTGCATTCAGTTAGATGCCTGGCATTTGGTCTCAGGAGCACTGCCAGGAGTGATTCCAGGGCAGAGTTGGGAATAACCCCAAGCACCACAAGACGTGGCCCCCAAACTAAAATAAAATTAAAGGCTGTCCTCAAATATGCCAAACATGTGCTCAGTTCACTGAGCGCTCTCTGATCCTTGTTTGGAATTTTCATTTTACCTGTTTTCATACGGTCCAAATCAGTATTTATAGCCATCCATTTTTCTTCTGGGGGATGATGGGGGGGCACACCTGGCAATGCTCAGGGGGTACTCCTGGCTCAGTGCTCAGGAATCACTCCTGGCAGGATTGGGGGGGGCCAGACTGGGTGCTGGAGATTGAACCTGGGTCAGTTGCATGCAAGGTGAATGCCCCTACCCACTGTCCTCTTTGGCCTCAAAGGGAAAATACACACACACACACACACACACACACACAGACTTTTTTGCCCCACCCAGTGGTATTCAGGATTTACTCCTGGCTCTGTGCTCTGGAATCACTCTTGGCAGGGCTCAGGGGACCACATAGGGTGCCATGAATTAAACTCAGGTTTGGGACATGCAAAGCAAACAACCTACCTGCTATATTACTGTTCCCGCCTCCAAAAGGGATGTTTTTAAAAACTCAAGCTTGGGGCTAGAGCAATAGCACAGCGGGTAGGGCATTTTCCTTTCATGCGGACACCCCAGGTTCAATTCCCAAATATCCCATATGATCCCCTGAGCACCGCCAGGTGTAATTCCCGAGTGCAAAGCCAGGAATAACCCCTGTGCATTGCCGGGTATGACCCAAAAAGCAAAAACAAACAAACAAACAAAACCCCCCAAAACCCTCGGAAATTCTGGTTTTCAAAGATCTACGGTGGGATCTGAAAACATGCATTTCCAACAATTTCAGGTGATGCTGAGGACTTAGGGTTAAAACTCTAGAACCACTGATTTAAGAGAAAAAGCACCTTATTTGGAGCTCTGAATAGATGCTCATACCTTTATGTCCAGGGGAGTCTAACTCAGGGATCACCTCCTCATACTGATTTAGGAGCTGACTGGGCTCACAAATATAAATCTCCCATTCTGCAATGTTTATTTTTTCCCATTTAACAAAAAGAGGTTAGATAAATTAGAAAAAACATAGAAAAAGAAGATAGGAACTCTCTGGCAGAGCCTGAAGCCCTGTGGGAGGTAGACATGAGCAGTCAAGAAGGGAAAGGCACCCGTTTCCAGAGATCTCCCTGCACTGCAGGCTGCACACCACCTTGCGGGGTGCCTGCCAGGACACTTCCTCCAGCTCGACAACAGCTCAGTGAAATGCAGTCTATGCCCAGGCCTGGACCTCATTGCTCCACGGACATCTTCTAACAATCTAAGGTGTAGTGACACAGGAAGTGGTCTCCTTGTGTGCAGAATTGCCAGTGTCTGTGGGGGTCAGGGGGCTGTGGCCAGTCCTCCTTCACGAGCTCCCGCTCTTCCCCAGTAAGGCGATATGCTCCTGCAGCTGCCGCTCGCCTTCCTGGGCGCGGGTCTGGCTTTGACACCGCAGCATCTCGGCTTTATGGTCCTGGTGATGCATCGGGCAGTAGCTCTGGGGTTCACACAGCTCCTGGAAAGTAGGGGACTGCGTAAGGGAGCCTCTGGGCTCCAGAACTCGGCCTACTAAATATCACAGAATTGAGCTGCTGCTGCTGGTGGCTCAGACAGGAAGCGATATATTCTCACGAGGCCCTGTGGGCCCAGGAGCTGCCCACTAAAGCTGGCTCCTGGAGTCTGGACTCCCCTTCGGACCCAAGCCTTACCATATATTCTGGAAAGAAATCTCGGTAGCCTCCTCGGAGGATGTACAGCTCTGGGTAGTGCAAGGCAGGATAGCAGTTCAGAGCCCTGTCCTCCGCCCTCAGAAAGCGGCACCTTGAGGGACAAGGCAGAGATGGGTGGGTGGAGTGAGGCAATGTAAGGACACCACGGGACGCTCACTGGGCAGGAGGAGGAAGAACAGGCTCAGTGCTGGCCCAAGGAATGGCCTCCGGATGAGGCAGTTTTTGCAAAGCCACGTCCAGGTGGCGTCACTCTTACTCCTTCCTTCCATACCTGTTTCCCCAGTCCTTGTTTCCCCTTTATTGCTCCAATTTTTGAACTGAAAAAACCCCTTCTTCCCAACTCCCTTCCACTCTTCAAATTGCAGTGGAGACGACTCACTCTGTGAGTCAGTCTCGGAACGGGTCTGGGAAGTTTCCTTGCCTCTAATCAATACCCAGGTCCATCCCCCGCCCAGCCCTGTATAGCCACTTACATTCGAGGACCCCTCTCGGAAGAGAATTCACAGTGGAACACGATGATGATTCTTTTCTGGGTGTCTAAAGGAACAATAGGCTTCTTTAAAAAGAAGTTGTATAGTTCTTCTTGACTGTACAAATTTAAGGCTCCCTGTAGAAGAATTTTTTTTTTTAAATATTTCTGCTTTCTTATCTGCAGGGTCACATACTGTGGTGATCAGGGTCATGTGGTATCAGGGATCAAACTCAAGATCTCACGTATTCTAGGCAGGGAGGCAACACTTGAGTCAGATCCTAGTTCTAAAAGCATTTCTTTAATGCACTTTGGACTGTGTCTACACTGAAATATAACAGATATTATAATGGGGTATTTGGGCCAGGAAAAATGGACTATAATCATGTACAGGACAGAAGACCACCTATAGCTCTATCTTCCTCTAGAGTGTGTAGTAGATACTCAATAAATTTTCATTTAACTAAATAACCAAGACTGTAAGGAACCACTGTGACGAAAAAATGTTTAGACAAATTGTTTGCAAAATGATTCTCAGTCCTTGGGTTACTGTTTTTCTTTTTTATTGGGCATTCTTGGCTCCTACAGAGAAGAGGAAGATTGTCTAGGAGGGGAAAGGAAAAAAAACTGTGCAAGGTAGAAGGGAAGCAAAAATGAGAACAAAGAAGTGCGTCACATACTACCTTGACTCAGGGCACCTTTGTCTACAGAATCTTCTCAATAAAGAACCCTGCCCGCTTCCCTGTTAATGTTCCCATTGTCATCTTACCTGGATATGTCCTCCCAGGTACTCGTATGGAAAGCGGCAGTCAATGATATAAAACTTCTCAATCAGATCCTGAAACTTCCCTGTCAATAAGGCAGCCACCTGCATAGAAACTGTGAGTGAGGACCCAGTTCCAGAGCTGGACACCCATCGTCAGTCCTTTCATCAGGACTTAGGAGAGAGAGAGTCTGCCCCACCCCACAGAAAGGGAGGTGCCTTTTTGAGAAGCTGATAAGAGTGAGGACACCAGGGAGACTACGCAGGCTAACCAATGGGTTGACATCAGTCCTTTAGGAGACCGCCAAGGACTCTGGAAGTAACAGCTGGAGAACAAAATCTGACTAGAGGGGAAGTATGTCCTCCCCTTCGACCACAGAGAAGAAAAGTAAGTCTCCCAGAAAAGGGGGCAAAGGAAGAAAGCTACTTGTGTATGAGGACACTGGGTCAGCCATTCTAGGGGGGTTTATAAACACATATACAAATTAAATGTAACTATGTTTTGTGTTCAGGGCTTACTTCTGGCTCTGTGCTTCAGGGAACCATATGGGGTGTCAGGATCAAACCCTGATCAACTGTGTGCCAGGTAAGCACCTAACCCACTGTACTATCATTCTGGCCCCAATTTCCAATATCTTAAGGAAACAGAAAAGTACAGAGAGCACAATGCTACTCATCTCAATAGATTACAAATAGCTAAAATATTCAATAGGGGTTTTTGGTTTAATTAAAAATGTGTTGTGTAACAGAATATTACATAGCCATTAAAAGTATTATATGGGGCCAGAGCAACAGCACAGCAGGTAGGGCGTTTGCCTTGCACGTGGCCGACCCGGGTTCGATCCCTGGCATCCTATATGGTTCCCCCAAGCCCCGCCAGGAGTAATTCCTGAGTGCAGAGCCAGGAGTGACCCCTGAGCATGGCTGGGTGTGACCCAAAAGGCAAAAAAAAAAAAAAAAGGATTATAGATATCTTTTGGTTGTTAGAGGCATTTTTTAAGGCTAATTGTAGCACTATATGTTCACTGTGATATATTTTCATAAAACATATGCCAGAATAAAATCTGGGCATTCAAAAGGAAAATATTCCAAGTGGTGGGCAGACAACACATAAGATGTCCAAATAATTATCTTTTTCATGTTCTTCCACTATCTCCTTCCAGGACATTGGATAATTTGTTTAGTTAAAACAAAAGTTGACTAAAGAAAGAAAAGGAAGTCTATAAGAGTGAATACAGTGAAAGAAAGACAAACAGAAGTGTGGGTTTTAGGGACAGAATAGACCAGATGGTAGGTTATGTAATCAGTTACCATCTCCAAATATCTGCTTACTGTTTCTGGGTTGATGTACTTCAGATCTGGGTGTCTCCCTGATACAGTTGGCAGCACACATACCTAGAAATACCCAAGAGCAAAAATAGCAAGTTTTCTGTAGCCAAATTTGAGATCAAAGTCGCATATATTGTCCTTCTTTCCAATATATGAAGTAACCTTTATAACTCCAGATACTTTCAAAAATCTGTGGTCTCTAGAGGGTAGACATGTAGCAATTTCAATTCAAAGAATTAATCCAAAGAAACCAAATTAGAATGCAACCAAAGTTTCAGATTTGGAAACAATGTGGATGATGGTAAGTTGTAAAAGTAAACATCCTAAACGAATGACTTATCAAGAAATTCAGGGGAAAAAAAAGGCAGGGGTTGGAGCCACAGCATAGTGGGTAGGTTATATGCCTTGCATGCGGTGGACCCAGGTTCGATTCCCAGCATCCCATATGGTCCCCCGAGCACCACCAGGAGTAATCCCTGAGTGCAGAGCCAGGAGTAACCCCTGTGCATCACCGGGTGTGATCCAAAAAGAAAAAAAAAATTCTGGGCACTTAAAGAAATGACATACCATACTGTTATTAAAAATAATAAAATGAGGGAACCAGAGAGATAGTACAGAGGGTACTTGCCTTGTATGCAGCCAACCCCGGGTTCAATCTCCCCACATCCCATAAGGGTCCCCCAAGCTCACCAGAAGTGATTCCTGAGTAAAAGAGCCAGGAGTAACCCCCGAGAACCACTAGGTGTGGCCCAAGCCCCATCCCTCTCCTCAAATAATAATGACAAAATGAGGCCAGGCATAACTCAGTGGTAGAGCACCCGCCTTGCATATCTAATGCCTGGGATGATCCCTGGCACCCCAAAATGGAACATATGTTGAAGTAGGGGCCACAGAGATGGCCCATAGGTAAAGCACTTGCTTCAAATATAGGAGACTGGGTTCAAATCCTGGCACCACAACACAAAAAAATTAAAAATCAAAGCAAAATATGATGATGCAGAACTGGAAAGACTATTTTATTTGTTTCTGAGTCACACCCAGTGGTGTTCAGGGCACCATACAATGCTGAATTCAGGACTCCTGCATGCAAAGATGTATTCCAGCCTACTGAGCTAACTGGTGTGAGGTACTTACTCCTGGCAGTGTTCAGAGGCCCATGTGGTGCTAGTGATTGTAACTGCTCTGTTTCACAGCCACACCTGGCTATGCTCAGGATTTACTCCTGGTTCTGTACTAAGGAATCAGTCCTGGCAGGGCTCAGGGGACCCTATATGGTGCATGGGACTGAATCCAGTCCAACTGCATGCAAGGCAGCCCCCGAACTCAGCGCACTGAGCCATCGCCCCAGATCCCAGAGAAGCTTTTATTGCGAGGGAAGAAGGGTTGGTTGAGCCACAGCGGGCAGTGTTTGGGAGCGAGCCCTCTGTGTGTGGAGGTCATTCCCAGCACTGCTTAGGGCACCATGCAGTGTAGAGGACTGAAGCAGGGCTGGCTGCATTCAAGGCAAATGCCTTAATCCCAGCACTATCTCTTTGGTCCCCCATGAGAATTTCCCCACACCCAGCACTGCTCAGGGCTTATTCCTGGCTCTGCACTCAGAGATGACTCCTAGTGGGGTTTGGGGCTAACATAACTGATGGAAAGCCAGGGATTGAACCCAGGTCAGCCTCGTGCAAGGCAAAAGCCCTACCCCCTGTACTGCTGCTCTGGTTCCTAAAAGAATTTTTTCTTATTTCATTATTATTATTATTATTATTATTGCTATTGGTTTGGGGGTCAAATCTGCAATGCTCAGGGCTTACTCCTGGCTTTGCATTCAGGAATCACTCCTGGCAGTGGTCAGGAGACCATATGGGATGCTGGGAATCAAACCCGAGTTGGCTGTGTGCAAAGCAAGCACCCTACCTGCTATATTATCTCTTCAGCCCCTAAAAGACAGTTTTTAAAGGAAACAAAGTGGAGGTATGAGGAATAGCTCAGGGGCTGAAATGTCTGCCCTATAAGTGTTAAGGCCTCAAGGTGAACCCTAGGTACCGCCCGTGTGTACGCACTGGGTCTGGTCTAGATCTGCTTGGAACTCCAGCACTACAACCCAGTGCCACCATCACTGCCACAGTGCTCTGTGTGCAAGCACCACCACAAGCACCACAGCCAAGCACATGAACAAGGTGATTCAGTGTGTCCTAATCCCTTGCTAGCACAAGAACCACACAGAAGAGAAGAGAAAAAGGCTAAAGGACTCAGGCTTTTCCACTACTCTGGATTTTCTCACAAAACTTTCTCATCTGAAAAAATGAGGGCCTAGATCAACTAAAACAGATTTGGGTTAGCAAAGAGTACTTGGTAAGGCTGAATATTTAGGAACCAGAGAGACAGTATAGTGGGTAGCTGGGGTTGAGCCCCAGCATCCCACCTGGTCCCCTGAGCCAGGAATGATCCCTAAGTACAGAGCCAGAAATAAGCCCTGAGTACAGTACTGAATTCAGTTTGGCACTCTCCCCACAGAACGCTGCATATTTATACCTAGTGTCCTTAGCAGAGAGTAGTCAGATCCAATACAACTCACTGAAGGGCGAGTCCAATGGGAAGGCATCTGCCTTACAGGTGGACAACCTGGGTTCGATCCCTGGCATCCCATATGGTTCCCAGAGCACTGCCAGGAGTAGTCCCCAAGAACAGAGCTAGAAGTTCTCAGCACAGCCAGATGTGGTAAAATAAATAAATGACAACTCAATGAAATTTAGAATGAGGGCTGTGGAGAGAACACAAAGAACTGAACATATCCTTTGCATATGTAAATCCCAGACTTCTCTTCTATACCCAGCATTGTAAGGTCCCATAAGCACCACTGGGAGTGGTCCTGAGCACTGCCAAGTGATAGGGAGAAATAAATAAACATATATATGATAAGAATAATTAAACTCACCTTGGAGAAATCACCAATCAGATACCCCTGGTTAAAATCATCTTCGAGCATTTGACTGATATTAATATCACAGAGAGAGATGGTCTTCTTTAGACCCATATTCTGAAAATGACAAGGTTCTCTTCAGCCCCAATTATCACGTAAAAGATTTAAAAATCAAGGAATGGAAGTGAGGACCCATTAAAATATGCACACTCTCTGATCTACTACCAGGTGTAGTCCCCCCACTGTGCATACAAATGCACACACACACACACACACACACACACACACACACTGGGAATACAATGCAATTATACCTTTCCCTAAAGTACAGTACAGCACAAATATTTATTTTATATATGGCGACAAACGGGTAATGGAAACAAAAAGATAAAGTAAAAGCAACTAGGAAAAAAAGCAAAGAAGACGATCAGGTAGAATATCAAACAGGTTCTCATCTTAAAAAAGGGTTCTTACCACTCTGAATTCTTTGTGGCTAGAACAATGCTTTTTTTTCACTTTATTTGGTGATACGTTGTTCTTGAATTTTACCACCTGCTTCCACCTGGGCTCATTCAAATTCCCCGGCAATGAAGGGGAGCGATAGAGAGAGCTTCTGTTCAAAGATGCCTGTTTAAAAATAGCAAAGCTTTAGATTTTTACTCAAAGTGTGTCTTCATGGGGCAGAGAGGTAGTACGGGGGTTAAGGTGTTTACCGGGTATATTGCTGACCCGTTTGATCCTTGGCACCACATACAGTCCTTTGAGGACTTGCAAGGCCTAACCCTAACCCCAGCACATAGCCTGTTGGTAACCCTGAGCACCAATGGGAATGGCTCAAAAGAAACCCAAAGAAAGTATGTCTTTAGACTAACTGGAAACCTCTATACATTTGTTAGAAATGCAGAATACCAGATGCCAGGCCTCCCCTAGACCTACCAACTAAGTAAAAGTAAAGTAAAGGCCCTCCCGTTGATCATCGATTTGCTCGAGCGGGCCCAGTAACGTCTCCATTGGAGACTTTGCTGTTACTGTGTCTGGCATATCGAATACTCTCGGTAGCTTGCCGGGCTCTCCGAGAGGGGCGGAGGAATCGAACTCGGGTCGGCCATGTTGGCTGCGTGCAAGGTAGACGCCCTACCCGCTGTGCTATCGCTCCAGCCCCGGACCTACCAACTAAAACCTGCCTTTTTCTGGGTAATGTTCAAGACTCCCAGAAAACATGTTTTAGAAGCAGGGTCCTTGGGGAGCATAGTGTCTGTGTCTGATTGTTGTTCTCTCTGACTGCCTGATGTAGGATCTCCTCCAGAGGCTTCCACTCTAGTAAAACCAAACTTTCCAGGTGACAGTCCTGCACATACCAGTTCTCCATCCCCATGATTTGGGTCCATAAAAGTTCCATAGACAGTACTGCAGAGGTGGAGGGTGGGGACTCAGTGTCATGCCTGCCTGCATATTTGTTTTGGTTTGGTTTGGCTATGCTCAGGGCTTACTCCTGGCTCTTTGATCAGAGATCATTCCAGGCAGGGCTAGGGGGGAGGGGGGCAGGGTTCCACATGCAGTGCTGAGAATGAAAACCTAGGTTGGATGCGTGTAAGGCAAGCACTTACCACAATATTTTTTATCATAAACTAGATTGTAAAGTATTAATTTTCTTCTCACTACAATGTAAGCACCACTAAAAGACTCTGAATCTTCAGTATTACTGAATGAACAGGACACAGACTAAAGTGGGGGGTGATGTTTGGAGAGGAGCAGGAATATTTTATGCAGTGCAACAAGAGGGACCACAGATTATGTGAATATCAGAGAGGACCAGGGATGAGCTAGGTAGTACAGTACTTGTTTTTCATGTGGTGAGGACCTGTGTTCAATTCCTGGCACAGGGGAAAAGGGAATGGGACGCATGGGGTACAGAAAAAAAAAAGGGTGTGTTTGTGTGTGTGTGTATCTCAGAGCAAACAGATTGCTGTATTTGGAATTTGGGAACAAGAGATAGAACTCAAAGACAGAGTTCAAAAATTGCATGTGAGAGGCTCTTCATGCAATCCCTGAGGTCACACACAAAAATTAAATAAATACCACTTTCCTCTGATTATTTTCTCTTGAAACAAAATACTTGAAATCAAAAGTCATTCTTGGGCTGGGAAGATGGCTCAGAGGGCTGGAGTGCATGCTTTCCATGAGGAAACCTGAGTTCAATCCCCTGAGCACTGCCAGGTAGCGCTGCACTGCACTGCACTGTCCTCCCGTTGTACATCGATTTGCTCGAGTGGACCCAGTAATGTCTCCACTGTGAGACTTGCTGTTACTGTGTTTGGCATATCAAATATGTCACAGGTAGCTTGCCAGGCTTTGCCATGTGGGTGAGATACTCTCGGTAGCTTGCCTGGTTCTCTGAGAGGGGCGGAGGAATTGAACTCGGGTTGGCCCGGTCGGCCGGGTCGGCCACGTGCAAGGCAAACACCCTACCCACTGTGCTACCACTCCAGTACTGAGCACTGCCAGGTATGGCCCCAAAATTAAAAAAAAAAAGAAAGAAAGAAAGAAAGTCATTCTTGATTCCACCCTTCCTTTGCAACCAACATCTAACTCATCAAGTCTTTTTGATTGTTTATCCAAAATTTATTTTTAATTCATCCATTTCTTTCTCCATAATCAACATTTTTGTCCAAGTAACCATCAAGCCCCGACATGTCTAATGAAACAATTTCCTACTCCTCCCCTTAGACAGGGTTCCTTCACAGTAAGACCAACTCATCCTACCTTGCTGGAGACATTCCCCGATATCCTAGGAATCTCCTGAGTAGCAGGCAAACTGGGCAGTTCACTATCTATTTGAAACTAGCCTGCTTGAGGTGACCTTCCTAATCACCTCACTTAAAACATTCCTTTCTAGGACTTTAACAATAGTACAGCAGGCAGGACATTTGCCTTGCCCATGGCCAACCCAGGTTCAATACCCGGCATTCCATATAGTCCCCAGAGCACTGCCAGAAGTAATTCCTGAGCGCAGAGCCAGGAGTAACACTTGAGCATCAGCAGATTTGACCCAAAAAGCCAAAAAAAAAAAAAGTTCTCTATTTGTCTTTGTCTCAATCCCTATCATATCTGTTAAGGTTTCCTTCATAACACTCAGGTAATCTGCAACAATTAAATTACTGCAGCTAATCATCCAATTCGTCGTTTGGGGTAAAACAGATGGTACAGTGGGTAAGGCACTTGCCTAGCAGCACATACGGTCCCCAGTACCAGCAGGAGTATTCCCTGAGCACAAAACCAGCAGCAAGCTCTGAGCACTGCTGGAAATGGCCTCAAATCTGCCCCACCACCTACCCACCTCGAAAAAAATAAAAGAAAGAAATTGTGGGGCCAAAGAGATGGAACAGCAGATAAGATGCTTGTGTTGCATGTGGCCTGCCCTGATTCGAATCCCCAGCAACACATATGGTCTCCTAGTACCGGAAGGGGGCACTCCTATACATATTTAGTAAAGTTTTAAATTAGATGGGAGGCAGCTGAAGGCCAAAAGAGACAGTTATTTCTTTTTCCATTCTCTTATAAACAATATGGTTTTTATTTGTTTTTCTGGTTTTTTTGGGCAGGGCGTAGGGGACCATAATGGGGTATTGGGGACTGAATCTGGGGGGGCGAGTTGCAAGGTAAATGTCCTGCGCTATGAATTAACTCTCTGGCCCCAAGCAATAAGATATTTAAAAAAAATGGGAGGGGGAGTGGGTTTGGACACATCCACTGTGCTCTGAGCTTACTATCTCTCTGGAGCCCTGAGCCTCCTATGAGTGACTGATCACAGAGCTGGGAGTAAGTCCTGAGCACCGCCAGGTGTGGCCCCCAAACAAATGAAACACAGACCCCTCTCTGTGTCCTAAATCTCTCCTTCCTGATTCTGCTGTTACTCCAACTACTTCCTCATGGGGTTGCTAGTGACTCTCACTCCCTCACAAGCTTCTTCTCTTGCCTTTAACTTGGAGTCATTGGTCCTCATTCTCTCCTCTATGCAGATGGTCTTAAAATACACATTTCCGCCCCTGGTGATTCCAACTCCGGATTCAGTATTTCCATTTAAATTTTCTGTTATCACCTCTAGCTCAAAATGTCCAAAACAGAATACATTACTCATTTTCAATTCACCCTTCTATATAAATTCGTTATAGCCTTACAGTTCTCCAGCTACTTGGGTTAAAGTTAAAAGTAATACCCTTCCAAACTCCTAAGTCACTTTTTCATATCACAATATAGCTCAGCAATTTCACATTCTGTCATCCTGTTTTCGTATGTTCTCATATGTTTTCTTACATTGTCTATCTTCTGGAATAGATAAATATAGCTTCATGTTGTCTTAATTACAATGTCCTCAGTTATTGTACAGTACTTACTATAAGCAATAACACATATGGTAAATAATTAATAACAGAGTTTATTAAATGCTATTACAACTTACATCATTTTGTTTTTGTGCCACACTCGGTAGGCAGTGCTAAGGGGCTACTCCCAGCTCAGTGCTCAAGGGTTACTCCTGGTGGTACTTGTGGTACCATGCAATACTGCGAATCAAACTTGGGTCTCCTGCATACAAAGCATGTGCTCTAGTCAACTAAGATACTTGTCTAACCCTTGCAATCATATTTATTAACAATGATGGATATATAATTATGAACTACTTTTAATACTTTATCTTATTCACATCAATTCTATTGAGATTTAGTTTTACTGTTTTTTGGTTTGTTTTGTTTCTGGACCACCTCCAGCCTTGATCAGGACCTGCCACATGGTTCCTGGCAGGGCACAAGGAACCATGTGAACTGCAGGAGACCGAAGCCTAGTCAGCTATATGCAAGGTCAGCACCTTACCTGCTGAAACCTCTAGCCCTGAGATTACATGTATCTTTATGCCATCCACTCTTTGTGCAGAGAGCAGTGTTTGAGCTGCAGCCAGGGAGCTCAGGGCCTATACCCGGCTTTTTACTCAGAGGCTGTCCATGGCAGTGTGAGGGCCATCAAGGCCCCTAGCCCTGAGCAGTATCTCCAGGCCCCAAGCTCTCCTGTTTTCCAGGTTTCTCTTTAGGGGACACACACCCACTGCTGTTTTGAGCTTGCTCCACGTGTTTCCAGGGATCAAAACAGGTGGCCAGCATGCACTCTAGCCCTTTGACTTATCTCTCCAGCCCCGATTTTTTGGGTTTTGTTTTGGGGCCTGTCACGCTTAAGGCTTACTCCTGACTCTGTGCTCAGGACTCACTCCTGGCAGTGCCAGGCTCCAAACCTGGCAAATGCCTTAACCTTGTACTATCACTCTGGTTGCTGCTCTCTATTTTTTTTTTTGTTTTTTTGGCTTTAGGGTCACAATCAGGGGTGCTAAGGGGTTCCTTCTAGCTCTGTGTTCAGGGCAGACTTCAAGGGACCACATGGGATGCCGGGGATAGTGTGCCACATCCAAGGCAAGCACCCTCCCCATGTACTATCACTCTGACCCTGCTCTCCTTTTTTCAAAGAGAGAAATAAAGCTGCAGCATAGGTCACTGTTTCTCTGATTGCTATAATATTAAACAAGAGAATGAGGACTAGAATCCAAGCATTCTAATTCCACAATATCATAGTTCCCTTAAAAAATAAATTTAAACAGCATTCCTGAGTCACAGAGATGGCTAAAAGGGCTAACTGCAAGATCACCAGATTCAAGCCCAGTAACCACCCCACCCCCCGCATGGCAAACTGTGAACACCCCACAAAAAACACACAATCCTGCGTGTACTGTTTCAAAGAAATAAAGCTGATCCAGAAATGTTAAATGCCTCAGAAACTATCTTCGACGTATTAGTCTGCACCCAACAAGCCACAGGCTTCATATTCCTCTTAGAGATGTGGAGATGGATATAAAAGACTAAGGATAAATCGTAAAGTAGCTGAAAAACCCTATTCCACAATAGCATTGCCCTATTCCACCCATTTCTAATACATCTGAAAGCACCACTTAATATTCGATTATACCAATGGCAATCTACAAACTAGTAATGTAGCCTGGTTAGCAAACAGTCAGAAGAGTCCCACAGGGCCCGACACCCTGTCAGTCAGGCAGCCCCAAGACACACACCAGGTCTTCCTTCCTTATTTACTTCTGGAGCCAAAAATGGAACCCAGGGCCTCACACACACACAGCACAGTCTTCACAGTGAGTCCCGTCTGAGCACAGAACCATGTCCTCTTTCTTGGGGCGATATTCGGCAGTGCTAAGGGACCATATGTGGGGTGGTTCCCTGCATTTGAACCAAAGTGCCACAGCCGGCTGTGCTCAGGGCTTACTCCTAGTTCTGCGCTCAGGGATCACTCCTGGCAGGCTTGGGAGACCACCTATATAGGGTGCCAGGGATCAAGTCCAGGAAGGCAAATGCCCTATGCATTATTCTATCATTTCAGCTCCAGGGACACCAAAGTAGTGCTCAGGGGACCGACCATGCAGTGCCAGGGATCAAACCCAGGGTTTGCTCACACCATTTCCCAAGTCTGATTATACCTTCTTGATCTCTGTACTCTACCGCCTAGTATCGTGGCTGCCACCTATTAGATAAGCAACATTATCTAAGAAGGCAGAAAAAGGTGCCACGGAGATGGCCCAAAGGCTGGAGTGCATGCCTGGATTCACAGCATCCTGGGTTAAATTCCTTAATGCTGCATGGTCCCGAATATCACTGGGATCACTGAGCTGAGAGTAGCCCCCAGAACTGCTGGGTATTGAAAAAAAAAATGAAAAAAAAAAAAAGAGAAGAAATGCATGCAAGAATATTAAAAATAATAACTAGAGTAACCATCAAAGAACACTTACCTTGGCCACATCTTGATCTTCTAGGGAAAACTCCATCAATTCACCTGAAATCTCTTCTGCTAGGTCTTCTCTGGGTTCTGGATTTTTATGCAATTCTGGAACTGTTATGGGACTGCCCAGATATTTCATTTCACACTCCACCAAGTTTTTGTTGTTCTATCAAATATATTAGTAATGTTAAATACTATCTAAGAACTTTATATTATGAATAAAAGTTAACTGATATCAAAGACCTAAATGTAAGTAAGAGGTAAAAGTATAAAGTTAGGGAGCAAGTTGACATTGGATTTAGCAATTACTCTTTTTTTGGGGGAGGGAGTGAGAGGCCCACACCTGGTGGTGCTCAGACTTACTCCTGGCTCTGTATTCAGGTATCACTCCTGGCAGTGCTTGGGGGACAATAGGGGATGCTGGGGATGAAATCTGGGTCAGTTGCATATAAAGCAAGCGCCCTCCCTGCTGTACTATCGCTCCGGCCCCAGAAATTACTCTTGAATATGACAGAAAAACACAGAGAACAAGGCCCTGTGTGGTGGCTCAAAGGAGTGCGGCATATATCCTGCGTGCTTGAGGTCATGAGCTTGGTTCCCAATATCAGAACACCCAGGACCAAGCACTACCAGGAGTGGCCCTCAAAGCCCTCAAGCACCGTTAAGAAAGCCTCAGTAAAAAAGAGACAAAGAGAGAAAGAGAAAGAAAGAAAGAAAGAAAGAAAGAAAGAAAGAAAGAAAGAAAGAAAAAAAAAAGAGAGAGAGAGAGAAAGAAGGAAGTGTGGGGCCAGAGCGATAGTACAAGGGGAATGGCATTTACCTTGCACGTGGCCAACCCCAAAGTAACCCCTGAGTATTCTCAGGTGTGACCCAAACCAAAAAAAATGAACAATCAGCAGCTGGAGAGAGAACGAAGTGAGTAAGGTGCTTGCCTGGCAGGCACCGATGCAAGTTCTATTCTGGTACCCCAAATGGTCCCCTGAGTCCCACCAGGAGTGATCCCTGAGCACAAAGCCAGAAGTAAACCCTTAGCACTGCTGGTGTGGCCAAAACAAACAAATAAACAAAAAACAACAACAAAAATAAGCGAATAAATAATAAAAGACCACTGTCACTGTCCTCCCATTATTCATCGATTTACTTGAGCAGGCCCAGTTTCGTCTCCATTTTGAGACTTGTTGTTACTGTGTTTGGCATATCGAATACTTCATGGGTAGCTTGCCAGGCTTTGCCGTGCGGGCAAGAAACTCTCAGTAGCTTGCTGGGCTCTCCGAGAGGGACGGAGGAATCGAACCTGGCTCGGCCTGGCTGGCTGCGCCCAAGGCAAATGCCCTACCACTGTGCTATCACGCCAGTCCAGATAAAATGAACCTTATTAAAATTAGAATCTTTCAGAGGTTGGAGAGATAGTACAGCAAGTAGGACATTTGCTTTGCACATGACCAACCTAGGTTTGATCCCCAGCATCCTATATGCATCCCAGAGAACCACCAGGAATAATCCCTGAGCACAGAGCTAGGAGTAATCCCTGAGCACCATTGAGTATAGCGCAAAAACAAAAAGAAAAAAAAAAAGAATTAGAATCATAATGCCAATGACCACTAATCATCAAATATGATGACAGCCTTAGGTTCTAAGAAAAAATCTATAAATCGTGTATTTTATACAGCATATAATGAATGCCCTATCCACTGTGCTATCGCTCCAGCCCCAAGACTCTGTTGTGGGTTTTTTTTTTTTAATTTTTATTAGTGAAACACCATGAGGTTCGTTGTGTTTTAAAGCCAGTAAGTGCCTAGACAATGTAAGATGACAGTAGCTATGGGGCAGCCAGGAATAGCTCAATGGTTGGAGGCTTGCCTTGAAGGCATGAGGGCCTGAGTTTGAATTTGAGTACTGGGGACTAAATATATACAATGGGGAGAGTGCTTGAATTGCACAAGGCTGACCCAAGTTTGATCCCTAGCACCCCAGATGGTCCCCCCAAGCACGGTCAGGAGTGATCCCTGAGTTCAAAGTAGGAGTAAGCCCTGAGCACCAGTGGGTGCAGCCCCAAAACAAAACACATGTAATACAAACTTTAGATTATAAAATTACATGTAGTTAGTTAAGACTGAAAATAAATGATGTAAGTGGCTAGAGCGAAAATCGAGCAGGGAGGGTGTTTGCCTTGCACTGGTCAACCTGGGATTCACACACACACATACATACACACACACACACACACACACACACACATCAGCATCCCATATGGTCCCCTGACCTCCGCAAGGAGTAATTCCTGCGTGTAGATCCAGGAGTGATCCCTGAGTGATCCCCCAGACCCCCAGGTATAACCCCAAAAGCCCTAAACAAATAAATAATAGTAAAAGAGGTAAAATACGAATTGTGGGTTTTCTCTATAATGTACCTTTTTCTTTTTGGGGGGACTGGCACTTTTGAGTCATACCTGGAAGCTTCAGGAGGTTACTCCTAGCTCTATGCTCAAGAATCTCTCTGAGCTGTGCTTGAGGGAACATGAAATTCCGGGGATCAAACCCAAACCCGACTCACGCAAAGTACACACTCAGCCTGAACTCTCTTTCCAACCCCAAATAGCTTTTTGGTTATCTACACTTTTCTCTATTGTTAAACCATTTCATATTTGGCAGAAAATATTGTCAGAATCAAATAAACAGGCTGGGACATAGTACAGGAGATAAGGTTGCTTGCCTTGCATGTAGTCAACCCCCACCCCCCATTCCATCGCAGCACTTACAAGGGGTCGCCCCTGCACACACAGACCCAGAAATATCACCTGAGCACCGTGGGGTATAGGCCAAAACCACCAACGCTCCAAACAAACAAACAAACCCGAAACGAAATCAGATAAACATTTTACTAAAGGAGAAGTTGTGAGGGGGCACACCCAGCAATGTTCAGTAGCCATAGCTGGCTCTGTGCTGGGGACCACACTTTGGGGTGCTAGGATTGAACCAGCTTGGACCAACTAGCTGTGTGCAAGGCAAGTGCCTTAACCTCTATGCTATATTTCCAGAAGACCCTACCGCAGAAATTTTTAAAAAAATAAAAACATTCTGGGGTTGGAGCAACGATAGTACAGTGGGGAGGGGCATTTGCCTTGCACATGGTCGACCCAGGTTTGATTCCCAGCGTCCCATATGGTCCCCCGAGCACCGCCAGGAGTAATTCCTGAGTGCAAAGCCAGGAGTAAACCCCTGTGCATCGCTGGTGTGACCCAAAAAGAAAAAAAATTAAATAAATAAAGAAAATAAATAAAAACATTCTGGGAGCCAGAAAATAAGACACTTGCCTTGCACACAGCAACCTGGGTTAGATCCCTGAACTCCTATATGGTTCCCTGAACTCTGCCAGGAGTGATTTCTGAGCAAAGGAAGTAAACCCTGAACACCACCATTAGTGTGGCCAATACACACACACACACACACACACACACACACACACACACACACACACTTTTTCTTCTGAAACCAAAGGATATTACTGTGTTTACCTCCTCCTTTTCCCTGTTCAGATACTGCTTCTCCAACCTCTTTTCTCACTCACACCAGCTTGAAAAACTCAGAGGGTCATAAACCCCAGATCTTCCATCCTATACCCCGCAGTACTTCAGGTTAACCTGGATAACAATGCTAAGTGACTCACCCTTACAGAAAGAGGAGACATAAAAGGGCCTCCTAGTTTCTTTTGAAATTTCTGTTTTCCCGATGCCCACCAGTCCAAGGGCTTCAAATTGTTTTCCTAAATTAAAAAATATATATATTAAAAATCAAAATTAGGGAGCAGGAGAAATAGTACAGCAGGAGGGCATTTGCCTTGTATGAGGCAGACCTGAGTTCGATAACTGCCATCCCATATTGTCCCCCAAACACCACCAGGAGTAATGCCTGAGTGCAGAGCCAGGAGTAACCCCTGAACATTGTCAGGTGTGGCTCAAAGACAAAAGAAAAACACACCAAAAAATAATTAATTTGGGGCCAGAGCGATAGCACAACGGGTAGGCCATTTGCCTTGCACGTGGCCGACCTGGGTTTGATCCCTGGCATCCCATATGGTCCCCCAAGCACCGTCAGGAGTAATTCCTGAGTGCAGAGCCAGGAATAACCCCTGAGCATCGCTTGGTGTGACCCAAAAAGAAAAAAAAAATTAATTAAATCAAATTAGGGCCAGAGCAATAGTACAGCTTGATCAAAAAGAAAGCTTTTTGGTAGGTGTCTAGAAAGGTATTACAGGGGCTAGAGCTATAGCACAGCAGGTAGGGCGTTTGCCTTGCACACAGCCAACCTGGGTTCGATTCCCAGCATCCCATACGGTCCCCTGAGCACCGCCAGGAGTAAGGAGCAATTCCTGAGTGCAGAGCCAGGAGAGCCAGGAGTAACCCCTGAGCATCATCGGGTGGACCCAAAAAGAAAAAAAAAAAAAAAGACACGTATTACAGAGGGTAGGGCGTTTGCTTTAAGTGCGGCCAACCTGGGTTTGATCCCCGGCATCCCATATGGTCCCTGAGCCCAACAGGTGTGATCCCTGAGCACAGAGTCAGGAGTAAGCCCTGTGTACAGAGTCAGAGCAGCCACTGATCACAGCCACACATAAAAAATACAAAAACACCAACAACAAAAACAAAAACAGAAAAAAAATCTAGGTGTCCTGCCAGCAGCACAGTCAAATGTGCCCACTACAACCTAAAACGGATGTGACCCACGTAAGCACCACAACAAAGTGTATGGAAAGTGGGGTCAGAGCAGTAAGTAGTACAGTGGGAAGGGCATTTGACTTGCATGCAGCTGACCTGGGTTCAATCCCTGGTATCCCATATGATCCCCCGAACCTACTAAGAGTAATTCCTGAGTGCAGTCAGGAGTGACCCCTGAGCACTGCCAGGTTGGGCCCCCCAAAAAACAAACAAAAAGAAATTAAAAAGTAAGACTTGCATGTGAAGTTATGCAAAGAGTTAATAAACATATATGTAATTACCTTAAACTGTTTTAAACAAAATGTATTAAATTCCTTATGCTACAGTAACAGAATTTCGTCATTAAACTGTCAGCTGACCAGTGATAATGAGACATGCTGGGAAAGACCTGGAAGCTAGTTTTCTGCCCCTGGACCAAATCTTTACTGAGCCACATCCCCAGCCCTAAGGTCAAATCTTAAGGAAGGAAACAAATAACAGTCTAAGAAATTTTTCTAAAAATGATGCAGTTTGCTTGTTAGCAAGGTGTAGTAGAAACAGCTCTAAGTCTTAGGATACAAATGAAATGATCCACAGAAAGAAAGCAAACTGCTAAAATATCAACATATCCAGTCAACACTCACCTTTTCTTCCTTTGTGGATGAGTTGCATATTGCATCTTTCTTTCTGTGACCTTGGAGCGAAGCATTGGGAGTACTACAAAGTAGCTGTGCCTACAAGAGATCCGAGACCTTCAGCTTCCTCTGTGACTTGAGAAACAAAGCCAAGCCCAAGAAAGAAAAGTTACTCACTGGGTTGCATTTTATATGGTACTGGGGATGAGTCCTGTAGATTTAAAAACAAAACCATAAAACTGCCATTTAGACCCCAAATACTACTTGGGTAATTCTGCAATTTTCCTCACTTCCATTTTAGGAGTCTTATACTTTGTTTTGTTTTATTTTATTTATTTATTTTTTTGATTTTTGGGTCACACCCGGCAATGCACAGGGGTTACTCCTGGTTCTGCACTCAGGGATTACCCCTGGCAGTGCTCAGGGGACCATATGGGGTGCTGGGAATCGAACCCAGGTCGAATGCGTGCAAAGCAAATGCCCTATCCGCTGTGCTATTGCTCCAGTCCCTACTTATTTTTTTTATTGGACCACACCAGCAGTGCTCAGGGCTTACTCCTGGCTCTGTGCTCAAGGATCACTCTTAGTGGTGCTCGGGGGACCATATGAGATACCAGGAACGGAACCTGGGTCAGATGCTTGCAAGACAAGCACCCTATCCGCTATACTATAACTCAGGCCCCATAGTTTATATGTTTCTAGTAACTATACGTAGGATGTGCATACAGTAAGATGTTAAGTGACATCCTGGGTGTAAGATCCTTATCAGAGGATCAAGAGATAATGCAGAGATTAAAGTATCTGCGTCTACTAAACTTAATTTGATCTCTATATAAACGTCTTCTGAGCACCTCCAGCAGTGATTCCTGAGCAGAGCCAGGAATAGCCCCCAAGCACTGCAGGGTAACGTCCAAAACAAATTTCAAAAAAGACATTTGTGGGGTGGAGTGGGGGTGGCGGGAGGGATACTGAGGACATTGATGGTGGGATAGGTACACTTGTGGAGGGATGGGTGTTTGATCATTGTTGACAGAAATTCGATTATGAAAACTTTGTAACTGTATCTCATGGTGATTCAATAAAAAAATAAAAACTGGGGCTGGAGCAATAGCACAGCAGGTAGGGCGTTTGCCTTGCACACAGCTGACCCAGGTTCGATTCCCAGCATCCCATATGGTCCCCTGAGCACCACCAGGGGTAATTCCTGAGTGCAGAACCAGGAGTAACCCCTGTGCACCGCCAGGTGTGACCCAAAAAAGCACAAAAAAAAAATAAGTAAATAAAATAAATTGAAAAATATAAAATAAACAAAAACTTAAATAAAAAGATCCTTGTTTCACTAGCATAATCATATACATAGAAACACATCAAAGATGATAGTTTCAGGCAAGGAAATAGTTTAAAGGGCTAGGAAGCATGCTTTGCATGAAGGAGACCCAAGTTCAATCCCTGGCATCACGTGTTCTCCCTAGCTCTCCCAGGAGCAAAGCCTAAGCACCCAAGAGTAATTCCTGAGCAACAGTAGCTGTAGCCCCAAAATAACACAAAATTAGCAACAGAGGCCAAGTGATAGTACAGTGAGTAGGGCGCTTGCCTTGCTGACCTGGGTTTGATCCCTGGCACGTCATATAGTCTCCCAAGCCCATCAGAAGTGATCCCTGAGTGTAGAGCCAGGAATAAGCCCAGAGCACTGCTGGGTGTGGCCCCAAAACAAAACAAAACAAAACAAAACAAAAAACTTTGAAGAGAAGGAATTCAATCTACACTTTACACTTTACACCTGAAGTGAAATGTTCCACATTCTGCACATTTTGTATAAGATAAAATCAATGAACCAGTGCTTTAGTATGGAGTTCATTTAGAAAAAAAAAAAACTTACATCTTAGCTAACAGTATTTCCTGAGGTCCTGAAGAATCCAGGAGACCTGCAATCAGATAGTAAACAAATATTAAAAGGGTGGATTAATAAAAAAGACTCCCGTTAGTTAAAGACTCTATAAAAAAAAATGTGTAAGGATTAGTTGAGGGCCTGGAAAAATAATATAGAGGGCAGGGCATTTTCCTTGAATCTGACCATTCCGGGTTCAACCCCCAGAATCCCATAAAGTTCCCCAGTCCCGCCAAGAGTGATCTCTGAGCACAGAATCAGAAGTAAATCTTTAACACCACCAGGTGTGGCCCCTAAGTAACAAAAGAAACAAACAAAAGAATTAGGAATGTTTTCTTATGCTGGTTTCTTTGACTCAGCTGAGAATAAACAAGAAATATAAAACTTGTCATTTTAGTTTAGTTTTTTCCACTCTGGAGAAGCCCAGGTTGTCTCTTGAACATGTATTTCCTTACTTTCTCTCCAGTCACAACTCTAAGTAGATTTCGTTCAATAAAAACTATGTTAAAGACTTCTCTTTTAGGGGCCTGTGTGATGGTACAGTGAGTAGGGCTCTTGCCTTGCATGCAGCCAACCCAGGTTTGATCCCTGGACTCCCATATGGTTCCCCGGAGTAACTCCTGAGCATTGCCTGGTGTGGCCAAAAACTATGAAAGAAAGAAAGAAAGAAAGAAAGAAAGAAAGAAAGAAAGAAAGAAAGAAAGAGAACAATACAAACAAAAAGATTCTTCTTTCCTTTAGATCTTTACCTCCTTCTCCTTACCAGTTTCATCAATATCTGTGGAAGCACTAAATTGAGTGGCAGACATCTCCCCAACACTAAAATTAGAAAGATTAAGGCGACATTTTGGGGTTTCTCTGTTGAGACAAAAATCAAGATCCCCATTAGGTTGCAATAACATGTTATTCTTCTTAATGAAGCACCCATAAATGACTATCACATTATCTAAACAAGGTCCAAAAATATTAATTGCCTCTGGAATTATTTCAGAATAAGTTGAGAAAAATCTCCCAACTTTCTCTATTCCAATAATGCATACCGTATTTTATCTTGATGTTTAAGATAATTCTTTTTAATTTTTTTTATGTAGGAGTATTGCTATTTATCCAGCCATTGATTAGGGTGATTGAATTGGGCATGAACTCCACTATTTTTTTTTTCTTTTTGGGTTACACCCGGCGATGCACAGGGGTTACTCCTGGCTCTGCACTCAGGAGTTACTCCTGGTGTTGCTCAGGGGACTATAGGGGATGCTGGGAATCGAACCCGGGTCGGCTGCGTGCAAGGCAAACGCCCTACCCGCTGTGCTATCTCTCTAGCCCCAAGATAATTATTTTTAACCGAGTCAAACTTTATTTGTTAAGATGGATCTTCACCCCATACTTTCTTCCCTGCACACTGAACAATTTTGATTTCTCCCTAAAATACTACATTTTTTTCAAATCTATAACTATCACATTTTGATTGCAAGTTAAAGCATGACCACAATTTAGAGAACATTAACAATAGTAACAGTCAGAGCATGAATAAGTGATATAATGCTATAGTTTTGAAAGATCCTTCCCAGAACACATTATTTGAGCCTCACAAAATCTAGGTAAGATTGGATAAGATCATTTCTATGTCTTAGAATTCTAAAACTCAAAAGAATCAGTCAAGAGAAAAAGAAGTTAACCCTTTATCAACTACAAATACTTTGGCGGGAGCCCACACCCTGCTGTGCTCGAGGCTTATTCCAGGCTGTGCCTACGAATCATACTCATATTAGGCCTGCTTAAGAACTTTATATCCTCAATTATCTCTCTGGGGTGTAAATAATTTATTTTACTTTATTATTATTACTTTTTTTAGTCCACACAGAGTGATGATCAGGGTTTACTCCTGGCCCTGGATTCGGGGATCATCCTTGCAGAGCTTGGGGAACTGTATGGGATGCTAGGAATCAAATCCAGGTCAGTAGCATGCAAGGCAAATGACCTATACACTGTATTATCTCTAAGTTCCCGTCCAGAAATAATAACAATCATCTATATTATTATTAATTTTTTTTAAGTTTTGGGGTCACTCCTGTCAATGATCAGGGGTGACTCCTGACTCTGCACTCAGGAATTACACCTGACAGTGTTCAGAGGATCATATGGAATGTTGGGGGTAGAACGAGGGTAAGGACCGTGTAAGGCAAGCTCCCTCTCTGCTGTACTATCTCTCCATCCCACCATAAAAACTTTTTTAAAACCAGCCAAAAGGAGCAGGGGAGAAGCTCAAAAGGCTAGGACGCATGCCTTGCATGCTAGAGCCCCAGGTCTGATCCCCAGCATCTGCATGATCTACCATCTCCCAGCACCCCCTCAATTAAAAAAAAAAAAACACCCAAAAGCTTTTGGAAAAGCAAAGGTGATAAGATATGAAACGTGAATTAGATTTACCCAGACAAAATGCTTAGGTCTGCAGAATCATCAGCGTCTTTGCTCACTGGAGTTCTAGGGAGATCGGTATTAGTGAATGAAGAGTCTCGCTCCAGGAGTCGGTTTAATATCTTTCTCTGCTTGGACCTAAAACTAAGTCTTGAGTCAGGACTTCCGTTCTCTCCTGAGGATAAGAGCTGTGCAGACATGGTTTCCGTGCTCTCTAAGACAAGAATAAAACCTTTCGTCTCTGTAGCTATACCACCGATGGTTCAGCTTGTACGACATTCAACCAACCACCCTTCAAAGCAGCAGACAAACCTACAGGTATTGGACGGTGGGCCATTCCCAAACGGGGAACCACAGCTCCAAGCGGCTTGGCCTTTCCCTGGGAACCCGAATTTCCCGAGAGGCAACTTGGAAAGAGGCTCTGAGACGCGGGCTGACCTGCGCGGGGACACAGAGCTCACGGCTCCTACCGAGAAGGAACTGAGGCCTCCTAAGTCGCGGCAATGCCAAACAGGCCCTCCGAACTTTCGTTTGTGGGGCCACTACCGGACATGGCAGTGACCACGAGGTCTGCAGGAGCCAGGCTTTACGTCGTGCTAGTCAGACTTACCTTGAGAAGAAAGGAAAGCGGGTGGGGAAATCAAAAGTGGAGGCCTGAGCAGAAAGAAAAGAAATTTCTGAAGAGACGAGTTTAAAATTATACCCTTGCTTCTCGACTGGACGGGATCCAGGTGGGAATCTTAGTAGCAAGAAAAATTAACAGCTCCGGACCTCAGCCATTCGAACCTTCCGCCTTCCCAATAGCCAATCGCCTCTCAGCTGCGTCAGAACGTGAGCCCGCCCATTCTCCCTCGACCAATCGTTTGAGTCGTATCATTGTTGGGGGGCGTAAGCTTGCTCGGGTAGGAACAACACTTGCCCCGCCTGGCTACCAGAAGAAGGGCGACGATTGGCTCACTATCAAGGTTCGGAAAGTGGCGCGCCATTGGCTCTGCCTCTAGCCAATCGCTACGCTCTTCTTGACCTCTGCCTTCCCTCCCTCGTTCCAACTCCGGGAGATTTAAATGGCACCTTGCAGGCGACAGCTGCTCTTGGGATATTACCTGGAGGTTTAAGTTTAGGTGGAAACAGGTTCTAAACGCTTCCTTGCTGCTTTTCTGTGTCGTTACGTGGCTCTTTCCCTTCTAGTTGTATTATTCTTCCTCTGGAGAAGGAGCATTTGCCGAAGGTGTGGCAGACGCTAGGGCGAGATGGGTGTAAAACAGCCTTGGCATTTGCAAGAGAGTTCCTTGTTTGGTGTTCTTTTAGTATTAAGCTTCCCAGAGTTGCTAGATCGTGTGAGAGTAAATTAAAAAAAAAAAAATTTAAAGCAGAATAGATGAATCCTCTTTGGAACAATTCGTATCACAGTCCAAAGAATCTAAACTATTGAAATTTGAATCTTAACCAGATAATTTTGGGGGGGGGGGGCGGAGAGATTGTACCGTGGGGAAGGGCGATTGTCTTTGCCCACTGCCAAACCGAGTTCAATCCCTGGAATCGCTAATGGTCACCCAAGCACTATCAGGAACGATCCCTAAGCACAGAGCCCAGGATTTCCCCCACCCTTTCTCCCTTTTGGTTTTGGGGCCACACGTGGCGACGCTCAGGGACTACTGGCTCTGCGCTTAGGAATTACTCCTGGTGGTGGTCAGGGGACCATGTGGGATGTTGGGTATTGAATCTGTCGGCTGCCCCCAAGGCAAGCACCCTCCTCACTGTATTATCTCTGCAACTCTAGAATTTATTCTTAACATCCTGAGTGCATGTTTTTGTCCCCCAGAATCAAGCCAGGAGCGACCTCTGAGAGCTGACCTAGAAGTTAGCTCCCATTCCCCCAGCACCACCAGATGTGGCACAAAATAAACAATTATAGGTCTACCCAAATAATTCTCCTAGGTTCAAGGAGAGGTCTAACAAGCCCCCCAGGTGCTACCCATAGAACATAAGTTGCAGAACACATTTTTTTTTTTTTGCTTTTTGGGTCACACCCGGCAATGCACAGGGGTTACTCCTGGCTCTGCGCTCAGGAATTACCCCTGGCGGTGCTCAGGGGACCATATGGAATGCTGGGAATCAAACCCGAGTTGGCCGCGTGCAAGGCAAACACCCTACCCGCTGTGCTATTGCTCCAGCCCCGCAGAACACATTTTGAGAAACAAATCAGAAATGTAATCTTTATGTTTGAGAAAAAGTAAACCAGAAATATAATATACATCTGTTGTAGGATCTTGGAGGTGGTGGTGGCTGAGATGTGCAGCCCAGTAGTTGGCTTTTAACCTAATACAGAATCTGCTTCCCAGGAAAGAGGTGTGTAGAGTCTTTGTCACCTGGGATAGAAGGTAAGTGTGGGGGTCAGCATGGAACCCTGCCATACCAGAGTCTAAAAATCAGGCTGTGGGTAGAAATATGGAATGAACTGGTTTCTGCTTTGATCACTATAATTACACTTCATAGGACCATAACATAATTCCGCAGAGGTGGGGGATAGAGACAGAAAAATATTGAACTATAGCAGTGTCAAAAGTAAATAGATTGGGGCTGGAGAGATAGCACAGCGGGTAGGGCGTTTGCCTTGCACACGGCCGACCCGGGTTCGATTCCCAGCATCCCATATGGTCCCCTGAGCACCGCCAGGAGTAACTCCTGAGTGCAGAGCCAGGAGTAACCCCTGTGCATCGCCAGGTGTGACCCAAAAGGCAAAAAAAAAAAAAAAAAGTAAATAGATTAAAGCAAGTACATGTCTGGCTACCAGTGCTTTCTTCATCAGATCCCCAATTGAGTGCACTGTGAGTGGTCATAAAAATATCAACTAAATGGTTATAATTGTGTCAGCTGATGGTAAAACATAAGAATTTGAAAAGAAATTAGGAGCTGGAGCAATAGTATAGTGGGTAGGATGTTTACCTTGCAAATGGCCAATCCCAGTTTGATCCCTGGGTCCTGTGTGGTCCCCTGAGCCCCACCAGCAATGATTCCTGAGTGTAGAGCCAAGAGTAAGCCCTAAGCACCTCTCAGTGTGACTCAAAACATATAAGCAAATAAGAAAAACAAAAACAACTTAGTGGTTTTAGGGTTGGAGAGATAGTACAGTGAGTAAAGTGCTTGCCTTACACACAACTGCCCTGGGTTGTATCCCTGCCATCCTGTACGGCTCCCAAAGCATTGTCATGAATGATTCCTGAGAGCAGAGCCTGGAGTAACCTCTGATCATAACCAAATGTGGACCCCCCCCCAAAAAAAAACAACATTTTTCCCTGGTTTTTGAGCCCTATCCAGCAGTGCTTAGTAATTACTTCTGGTGGTGCTTGGGGGGCCATATGGGATGCCAGGAATAGAAACCAGGTCAGCCACATGCAAGGCAAACATCTTACCTACTGTATTAAAGCTCTAGCTCCATACTTTTTTTTTTTTTTGGCTTTTTGAGTCACACCCGGAAATGCACAGGGGTCACTCCTGGCTCTGCGCTCAGGAATTACCCCTGGCGGTGCTCAGGGGACCATATGGGATGCTGGGAATCGAACCCAGGTCGGCCGCGTGCAAGGCAAACGCCCTACCCGCTGTGCTATCGCTCCAGCCCCTCTAGCCCCATACTTATGGGGTTATTTCCCCCTTTATTTTTGGGCAATACCTGGTGCTGCGGGGTAGAGGGAACTACCCCAAGCTCTATGCTTGGGGCGACCCCTGGTAGGACTCCAGGAAGTATGCAGTGTGAGCTCAAACTCAAGTCTCCTGCAGGCAAGGCATGTGTTCAGCCTTTTGAACTATCTCTCCAGCCCAGTGGAAGGCATTTGAAAAGAATGTCAACAAAATAAAATAAAAATAAAAGAATGTCAAATACTGAGAGGGAAAGTGGGGAGGGAGATAAGTCAATGGGCTAGAGTACAAGCTTTGCATGTAGAAGGCCAGGGACCTGGCACTGCATATGGTCCCATTGGTACACTGGGGGCAACCCCACTCTTCCCAGCTACAAACTGGGAGGAGCTCCTGAGGAGCACCTGGTGTGACCCAAAAATGAAACAGAAAGTCAAATACTGGGCTTGAGAGTGGGCTGAGCACATGTTTTGCATACAGGAGGACTGATTTGGTCCCTGGTACTGCATGGTCCCCTTGAGCACCTAAAGGACTGACACTTCCCCATGCACAGAATCAGTAGCAGCCCCCCGCCTTGCAACACTGGGTGCAACTCCCCAAAAAACCCAAAACAGGGTCAGAATGATAGTACAGGGGTTTAAGGTGCTTTCCTTGCTGTACACATGACTAACCTGGGTTTGAATTGTTAGCACTGTAGATGGTCCCCCAAGCACTGCCAAGAGAGACCCCTGAGCACAGAACCAGGTATCAGCCCTGAGCATGGCTAGCTGTGGTCCCCAAACAAAAGCAAATTAAAAAACACACAAAAGGATGTCAAAAACTATCTTTCTACCTCTCTTTCAGAGGATATTTGGTAATATTTGATTTAGTTTCCCAGAAGGAAGATTTTTAGTTGGGAATTACAGTGTTTGATCTGATTATTTTTTATTTCCTATTGGATTGAGGCCATTGATCATACCTCATTTTCAGGGAACCTCTAACAAGTCTTCTGATTAATTATGATGCAACAGTGAGCTGTGCCTCTCACCTGGATGTGTCAATATGTTTGTCTTTGTCAGGGCACAGTAACACACAGGACTTCACCATCAAATACCATACAAGAAGAGACACAGCAGATGCTTGTGTCTGGGATGGCCCAATCAGATAGAGGAGAACCCTCCACTCCTAGGAAACCTCCCTCCTCCTGCCTGACCTCTACCCCACAGTCAGCCTGAGACATGAGCATACTGTTCCCCGTTCCTTCTGTGAGTGTATACTGAGCCCCACCTCTCCCCTCTGTGTAGAGGTTTTCGCTTTCACCAGCTAAATAGGGAGAATCTGAAAGTGTTAAATGTTCCTTTGATTCTGCTGCTTATGTAGGCAGAGAGTGGCGTTTCATAGAGCCAGTAAATTTCACCCCTTCAACTAGCCTCCTGGACAACACCTCCAAACCCTCAAGCCCTTGGGGCTAGAGTGATAGTACAGCAGAGAGGGTGTTTGCCTTGCATGTGGCCAACCCGGGTTCCATCCCCAGCATCCCATATGGTCCCCTGAGTACCGCCAGGAGTAATTCCTAAGCACAGAGCCAGA